TCACCCGACATGTTAAGATTTTTGGTTGAATTAATTTTTTATTAATAAACGCTAATGCTTTTTTTTATATATATATAAACCATGTGTACCCTCTACACAGTCAATTTTGTTCGAACAGAAAACAATCTTGAACCCAAAATTTTACGGAATCCTCGTATGTTCAAAATCACTAACTGCATGATTTTTTTATTTTTTTGGTGAACTGCCTCTTTATTTTAATTATTTGTTAACAAATGGCCTTTGTCACGAATCTCATCCACGTTACCGCTGCCTGTTTGAATATGTAAATTGAATTTGAACTTAAAGGATAATAAACTTTTAAACTAGATTAAGGGTAGCCGAACAAAATGCAATGGTGAATAAAAATTTAAAATTTAATTCTTAAAAAAAGTGATAAATTATAATATTTGTTTAACTTATAATATATTTTGTATAACTTAATAATTTTGGTGTTAGTATAATTTTTAAAATTTATATTGTGAAACACCAATGATTGTTAAAATCTCGATTTATTAATGTGATTTTACTTTTTTATAATTTTTTTATCAAAATGATTTTACCAATATTTCAAATGTTTTTACGATTTTATGATTTTTTTACATTATAATTTTACATTTTACGATTTTTTAGTCCCTTTCTGATTTTATTTAAAATTTTGATTTTAACAATATTGGAAACACCTTATTGAAAGTAGATTGGAACTGTGAAACAGAATTAGCAATATGGACTCCAGTATTTTACGTTTTGGCCATGGTAGGCATTCCTAGTAAACATGCTACTAAATTTACAGAGTTATCTGTTGCTATTAAAAATCATAATGGTTTGCAAAACATAACTGCATTTGGTCATCTCCTGTGATAAAGACAACCCAAATTCAATTTGATTCACGTCTTTGCTTTTTTTTATTATGGTTGTACATGTCCCAGTATTGGTATATAAGTCTCAATTGTTACTCATTTTCTGCTGAATCTTCATGCACACAATAAAGGGCACTCCTATGCATAAGAAGATTCTGCAATGCAAAAAAAAGTTACCCATGTTTTGTCTTTTTTTTTCCCCCTCCTACGGGCTCGTATAGTCCTCATACACTGTCATATATGTGTAGAATATAAATTTATATTCTATAATATGTGTTATGGAATATTTTCATATCCTAACCACCTACTCAAGGATCCCTTAAAAGATAACTACCCAATTATCTTATTAATGTAAAACAGTAAGGCTCCCAACAGAAAGGAAGTTAAATCCTACTACAACTCGGATATCTACACCAACCCAAGAGGTAAGCTTTATAAATAAGAGGTTAAAGACCCCATTACATACTCTGAACTCATTTACTACTTCTGCCCACACTGTGCATACACTCACGTCTCGGCTATAAGCCTATTGCTTGTGCGCAGTGACGGGGATATTGGCTATAAGCCAACCAAGATACCTATCCATAGGATATCTCTGAGCGCATACCATTGAGGTATCATTATACGGTTTAATAGAACCGAACATTGGCGCCGTCTGTGGGAAACCGTAAAGTTCGATTCCCACTCAACTATAGTGAGCACGCAGAGCACAAGCGTAAAGCCACGGATAATCACCGCGGTAGCAAGAGAAGCGCTGCCACAATCAAATCTTAATACAATGGGGCTCACCATGAAATAAAAAAGCATGAAAGGCGATTGTCGTGCAAGAAGCTCAAGAACCCTAATGCCAACGAGAATCTCCGTCTCTACAAGACCACGGCATAAAAAGTCGGGTTCAGATTAAAAAAGCCTCCGCGAAAGAAGCGGGGCTTAAATTAAAAGATCACGGCGTAAAAAGTCGGGATCAGATAAAAAAGCCTCTGCGAAAGAAGCGGGGCTCAAATTAAATGACCACGGCATAAAAAGACTTTGTTCTCCTAATGGGCAATACTGTAAACCAAGCTAGAATCCAAATAAAAATGAGAAATGGACAATGAGATTGAAAATTCCGAAAGTTGGGGGAAAAAAAACGAAACGGAAATTGAAGAAACGCGTGTCACTCTAAAGAATATAGTGTTTGGGGTTTCATCATCACGTTCCCAGAAACCCCAAAGAAACGCGCCGTTTCGTCAACACGTTTTGCTTCACGAAATTATCTGCTAAGGTAAATTTCCCTCTCTCGAAATACATCGTTTTGATTCCATAATTCAGTTTCAGCTGGAATTGTTCACAAGCTATGAATAATAGTAATTTCTAACATAAATGTAGAGTTTCAGTACCCAATGTCTGTGTTAACGTTGTCACCCTGTTATGTTCATATTCACGGTTTGTTCTGTTTTCCCAACGTTTTCAAAAAACCTAGTCCACAAACCCAAATGGGGTTCGAATGTATGTGGATGATCTTGTCGTAGCACGAAAACCCAGTTCATAGTTAACTAATTTAGGGTCTGTTTGGTTGTCTTCTGTTTTTAAAACTGTTTTGTAAAATAATTATGGAAATAATTAATTTCTATATTTATTTAATTTTAAAAATTAAGAATCAAAACAGAAAACAAAAACAACTACATGTTCTCTAAATTTGATTCTAAAAACAAAAAAATAATTATAGTTTTCAAAACATTTTTTTTTTACAAAACAGACCTTACCAAACGAGTTTTTAGTTTTTTTGTTCTGAAAATTAAAAAACCATTTTTCAAAACAACAATCAAACAGAGCCTTAGATTCGAAATTTTTTGGTGGAAGAAGGGGGGCAACAAAATGTTTATGTTGTTTCGAATATGAAACCACTCTCGTATGTGTTGCACATGATCATATCATGTTTTGTTGGCACATGAGAGGATCCATTTTCTGACGGAGATCTGGATCCTCTTATGTGAAAATTCACATGTCATGTAGAGAATCATAACCATACAAAGGTGGATCATTGGTGAAAAAGGAAGAGAGAAAAAAAGAAGATAAAATAAGTAGTTATGAAATCATAACCGTTGATTTACCTTTGTATGTATGGTTGTGATCTTTTCACATGATCATATCATGTTTTTTTGGCACATGAGAAGATCCATTTCCTGACGGGGAGGATCCAACCTACATGGCAGCTTAATAATTAAATGTTAGTGTGTAAAATAAAATCAGATCAAAACTTAAATATGCTAAATATGGTTAATATTAAACAATGATATTGATAAGTTTCAAGAGCTGGCATCTTGAGTTCTTGTAATGATCCAGTACCTGAATATTTTATCTTCAAGGGAGTTTGGCTTGGTACACAAAATTGCAATCTCATGCTATGCTAGTGGAATAATGTATTTTAATATAAATAGTTTTGTCTTTCCATTACGCAATTGGTGTGTATATGTGAAAAATAAGACTTTAGAATGATGCTACGTTGTTTCCCATGTCAATGAAAATCAGCTTTTACATAATTCGAAATACATGGGTTAATATAATAAGGATTTTAGGCTGTTTGTAGCAGAGCATTCATGTGCAATTGGTTTATCTTCTTCTTCTTTAATTTGGATTTAGAATCAGATTTTATTCAAGAACACTCGTGCCTTGCTTTGTGTTCTGTTCAAAAACGAGTGTCTATTCTCAATGGTTTAGTAATATTATTTAGGTTTTTAGATTATCATGTTACATGAACACTATTCATCATTCTTGTTGATACATCGAAAATCTCAATTTTCTTTATTTTTTTTTTCTTTTTCTTCTTTTAAAGTGGGCCACCAAAATCTCTTCTCTGCGGTATTACTATTTATTTTTCCGATAACATAACAAACTAAAAGCCCATATTATTTTAGAAAAAAATATTTATGACAATCATTTTAGTAAAAATTCGTGTTTTTATTTAAAATTTAAATTAAAAATTAACTTCACAATTTTTCCCATCATGATTTCTGTTTCTCTCACCATAAAATACAGTAATTTTGACTAAAATGACATAATTTTATGTCATTTAAAAGGACAAACACTAATTCCATTATTTTAATTATTGAATATCTAATAGACTTAAATGAGCTAACAAGTTTAGGATAAGATCTTCGGTATTTTAAATATGGGAAATCATACTCTTATGTTGCATGAGATTGATCTCTCATGTTACTCTCACTTCAAAAAATGTACCTCTCTTTTTATTTTTTATTTTTTCTAAAAATTAGTGAGGCCCACTTTATTTGTCTCTTCACATGAGAGAACTTCACTCATACTACATGAGAGAAGTAATCCCCTTTAAATATAGACCAAACTAGATTTATAATTTGGGCCGATATAAGGCTAACAAACCAGGTCAGACACAAAATATTTTACACTGAAGTAGAGGTATTTAAGTCAAAGTCGAGCTAAGACCAACTCATTTACACCTCTACTTAACACCGCTAGAAACTTAACTAATATTTTTGTTTTATCCTTCTTAGAAAAAAATAATAAACTGATGACAAAAATAAAACAAAATATGTTGAAAGTTTACAACACTTACATAAACAACTAAAAAGAAAAAAGGAAATTTTTTTTTTACTATCACAGTGGATAAAATTACCACAAACAACCCGAAGACTACGTGGTGTTTGAAAGAAATAATGAAAGGTATTTTAGTTATTTTATTTGTTTTTTTATTATATGAATTTTACAAAACACCATTTATTAATTTCATCAACCCTCAAAATGACATAGTTTTAAGATTGTTGGAGATAATTTTATTTCCTATAATAAAAATGATAAACCAAAAAAAAAAATAGAAGATAAAAAGATCAAATATGTCTAAATCCAAAAGAAAATTGACCAATGAGTCAATGACAAAAGAATAAAAGACAAAATATGTCTCTAATCTATTTTCTTTTTATTTATTTATATATATTTAGTTTTTTTTTCTTTTAATCTTTTCTGTAAATTTTGAACATATTTTTTTTCTTTTTTTGTTGTGATCGGTTTATTTTCTTTTTCTAAGAAAGTAAAATCGGCAGAGATTGGTTAAGTTTTCAACTGTATAAGGATGACTTCGGATGGAAAATATAATCGCCACGCAACCGGTTCAGGTAAGACACTTGCTGAAAAACCGGTTGAACCGGCCGAATTTTGTTAATCAAAAAACGGTGACCCGCTCTGAAGTGGAGGAAGAAAGCGTCGATGGTAGAAGAAGAAGACGACGGAAATGTTGTCGTCGTCGTCGAACACACAATATGGTGAGTTTAGGGCATCGCACATATTGATAAAGCACGAAGGTTCTAGAAGGAAGGCTTCGAGTTCGAGGAAGGATCCAGAACACCACCAGAGAAAGTGCCGTTTCTCCACGACGACATCGTTTTGTTGAACTGCATTGAGCTAAAAGGTCTTTGAAAACTAGTGATTATGGTGGATCATGGCTCTAATTATTTATTATTATTATTATTTAATGAAAACATGTTATGTTTTGTGTAGTATATATATTTGAATCTGTGGGAGAAAATGTTAATGGTTGAAATTTTCTGGAGGTGATGAAAGAGGCTTTTATCAAACAAGTGATAGACATGGCCCATCAGCTACATGTTTATGCTAGTACTACAGGCCATTGGGATGAGCATATCTGGAGGTCTGGCCAGCTGATTCAATACTTTATTATTATTATTATATTATTATTATTTTTATTTTGTGATGAACTTTTGTTTCTGATTGCTGACGCCTTAGATACATGTTTTTTTTATCTTGTAGAAGGAATGCAAGCAGCTGGTTTTTGACACTATTTGATCTTGAGTTGTAAGTATTTGATATGTTTTCATCTAAATTTTAAAAATTGGACCAAATCAACTTGAAAGGTTGAACAAATCAAGTCTTAAAATCTTTACACGTCAAGCAAGTTTAAGGGTAGCTAGCTCAGTATGCTTTTAACTGTCCCAAGTCACATGGAAGAGAGAGGGTGTTTGTGAGCTTAATTCGTGAATTTTATCGTTAAATGTATTTTACACTTGTGTTATTTATGTTAAAAGTGTGCTAAATATTTGTGTAATGATCTTGTGTAATTGAAAATATGGATTTGTTAAATTTTGTTATGATATTTTTAGGATTTTGAGTATGAATTATGGATTAATTAGCTTAACCAATAACTTACTAGTTTAACCAGTCATTTCATACCCTGATTGAGCCAGGTTTTATAACATTACTATTATTGTTATTAACATAAATGTGTTACACAATTTCCTTTAATCATATACTTTGTTACATCCTTCAATCATATTTTTTTAATCTACATACTTTCCTTTCCATCTTGATTAAATGACTAACTAGAAAACAAAAAGAAATCATGCACCCCGGTACGCAATGATAACTAAACTAACTCATGGTTGCCTCGTCCTTGAAACTACGTTTACTGTATTGGTTTGGGGGGCTTTAGGCAAAAATAGCTCCTAAGACATTCAAAGACATAACAAGTGCCATAAGATGCAGCATAATGTGATCTTATGTCCCTAGGAGACTTGTCCTTTATAACAGTTAGATTCTTAAACCTGTACTCATCAAATTTGTCTGTGTCTAAGCATAAAAAGGCTGCTAATTGTGGCTTTTAACAAATCAGAACTTACAAGTGCATGGACATAGAGCTGTACCTTGGTCTAACTCTTTTCTTTAATGCTCTTTTATCTCCTTCAGGCAAATATCTGGAACCCACATTCTGAGCTCATCCCGAAACAATCACCATTGGAAAACATATAGTTCCCAAGAGTCATTGGCCTATCTGGAATTGGTGGAACCTCGATATCCCCTTCTAACATCTTCAAAGCATCCAAAATTGTTGGCCTTGAAGCAGCCATCACATGAGAAGACAGAATTCCTACCAGCAAAAATCTCTCCATTTTGTTTCTAGTAGAGTTTCCATCTATTAAGATAGAATCATCAAAAGCCTCTTCTATGTTTCCCGATTTCATCAATGACCAAACCCAATCTGTGATCAAGAATTCAGGTGCTCCTGATGAAGAAAAGCTAAGAGCTTTTCTTCCACACATTATCTCCAAAACAACCACACCAAAGCTATAGACATCACTCTTCTCAGTTAGCTGACCATAGAGTGCATATTCTGGGGCTAGATATCCATGTGTTCCAGCAATTTTAGTACTTAGATGAGACCTAGTATCACTGCTCTCTTTGGCTAGTCCAAAATCTGCAATCCTTGCCCTCATACCTGCATCAAGCAGTATATTGGAGGCTTTGATATCTCTGTGATAAATTGCAGGTTTAACTCCAAAGTGCAAATAAACCAACGCATTTGCCACATCCAAGATTATGCTTTTTCTTTGAGGCCAAGTCAGCGATTTCTTTGCATTTTGATTGTCCATGGTTGGGAAGAGATGGTCTTCAAGGCTACCGTTTGGCATATAATCTTGAACAAGATACCTTCCTCTGTACTCAGAATTCTCATCCTCATTAACTACACAACACCCTCTTAGCGGCACCAGATTGCGGTGCTTCAAGTTGCTAACGATCCCCACCTCACTGTAGAACTTAGCATCTCCTTGATAGTCAGATTCTTCAATCCTTTTAATTGCAACCATTGTGCCATCGGGTAAAATTCCCTTATGAACTAACCCAAACCCACCTCTCCCTATGAAGTTCTGGGGTGAAAAATTGTTGGTGGCCTTCACAAGGTCCTCAAACTTGAACCAAATTAACCCTGCATATTGTCTCAAGCTTAGGCTGGGCCTTTGTTCCAATGGATCAGAATAGGCTAGCAAATTTTCAATATTTTTTCTCTTCACCCACCCACTGTACCAGAAATACAATCCTACAAAACAAGACATGATAACTAGGAGTCCAAGTGAAGCTCCAGCTAACCCAAATACAAGAGCATGATTGTCCTTTCTGGTATCAACTTGTGTGCTAACCGACAAAAGAAAAATGCATGACAAAACACCTTTGCTTTCAGGCCCAAAGTCATTCACAACTCCAGCAATATATAGTGTTGTGAAGTAAAAGCAATCTTGGGAATGTGAGGTATTACCATCAATAGCAGTCAGCATCTGCTGAGCTCTGTACCCCTCTGTCACACATGCATTGCAACGAGTAAGATCAGTGAGGTCTGGTTTACAGGAATTGTTAATCAGTGCTGTTGAAGTAGGACCAACCTTGCTGAGCCAATCTTGCTCAGATTGAATTTGAGCACAGATGTTGGGAGTGATAACAAATTGAAGTGGGTCAAAGCAGGTGGACACAAGGTTATTGGGAAGTGAGAAGGAAGTAAGATTGGATTGGAAGTCTTGAAGACAAGAGATGGAGGTAGGAAGGTTGGGAAGATGAAAAAGAGAATCTTTGTTAAGGCGTTTTGCAAGTGCTATGCCAAAGAGGGATAACAGATTTTTGCAACAAAAACTAGTGTGTGTTTCGTTTTTGGATGCCAAAGGTTGGAAGTTATGGCAGCTAGAGGAGTTCCAAGGGACAGTTGGCACATAATTCATGTCCAATGGGCACGTAGAATTTTTGGCAGGGGAAATGGTGGTAGAGGGTGCTGCTGAGCATGGATTTGGAGCCACGACAAAGAACAAGAGAAACACAAAAATAGATTTCATATTTGTGACTGTTTAAAATGCGTTGAAAGCTGGATATTTTCGGTCTATTTATGCATGTGGGTCGGCTAGAACGTGGTTTTGACCTTTGAGGAGCGAAGACAATAAACTACAGAAAATTCTTATGTTATCAACTTTGTACACTTAAATTATCATTTAAAATAGATAAGAGCATCTTTCAGAGACGTGTATTTCTACTGTGACCCACAAATGTCTTTATGAATGTTAAATGTTGATTTGAGTTTGTATGGTAAAAACTTCTTATCTAAAAATTTCTTATAAACTACGCATATAGAGGAATGAAAAGATGCTTATTTCTAAATCATACCATGGTTTTACGTCTGATCAAATCAGTTTTCGTTATTAAAAAAAAGAAAAGAAAAGAAAATATACATGGGCTGGCGCAAAATGTCTCACTGCTGACACCAACGTTGAAAATCTGTTTCAACTCGAGTTATAGAAACCTTTATTGACCAAAGTATGCAGGACTCGAGGTGTACTTTCTAGAGGGTGATCGTGTAATGTCAGTGTAAAAGATCCTCGGATTTGGTCTTCCATCACGGACCCTGGAAAGGGAACGGGAACGGGAATATGTCCTTTTAGGCTTTTTATTATCTTCCTTCAAGATCCTCTCTTTCTTCTTTTAAGAGGTTTAGAGAAGCAAAAGACTATTCTATTTCATTTCAGATGTGCTAGTATGTATAAGAGTAAACATCCTTTTTAGTCCCTGACAATATTTATGAAGTCCTTTTCAGTCCCTGGCAATAAAAAAGGACCAAATTGGTCCCTGAAAGTACAAGAAAAGGGCCACTTTACATAGTTGGGAGTTGACATAAGGACTAACATGACCTTTTTTTGTAATTTCAGGGACCAATTTGATCCTTTTTTATTGTCAGGAACTAAAAAGGGCTTCGTAGATATTGACAGGGACTAAAAAGGATATTTACTCTATTTATAAATTAAGATTGTTCATAGCAGAAAAGCAATTAAGTTCATCAAATTAGCACCAAGCATGTGAATCAAGTGACACATATATCTGTATTAAAATTTTGGTAGATGAAACTTTGTTTTTTTTTTTTTTTGTTTTTTTTTTTTTATAATCCTGCCTAGTTTGACCAAATTAATCAATGAAGATAGAGAAATCTCAAAAGAAAAAAAAAATAAACTTCCTTTCTCAACATATAACACACGGAATTTTTATTTTTTTTTTGTCTTTTTTAATCTCTTTCCATGTCTCATTAATTAAATTCAAACATCTCATTTAGAAAGAAAAAAAAAATCTGGCAATCATAAATTTCATTCTACAAAACTCTACATAAATGTGACAAAATGTTTCTAAATAACGAAGTTAAACTTAGACAATTTGAAGTGTAAATTTTTTAAAATTTTTAGGGCTTATAGCCTCTCCTTTCACAGGAGAGAGGATCCAAATTTTTCACAAAGAGAAACAAGTGTGAGATGAGATCCATCATATTTTTTGAAAAAAAAAATATGGCACAAATTTTTGTGAGTCTATAACTACATAAAAACATTTTTGCTATTGCAGAAAAAGTGTTTTACCCTAAATTTTAAGCAGTAAATTTTTTTACTCACGCATACTAGAGAAAGACAAAAGTGATCAACCGCAAAAGACTTTGTTGTAGTTAGATGACAACTTTAACATTTCATGTAACTATGTAAGATGGATATGAATAATTGTTTCTCGTTAATATCAGTTACTAATTTTAAGCAGCGTTATCTCGAAACTTTATTTAATCATACAACAATTGAGGAAGAACTAATATTAAATGGCACACACTAAGAAAAATGTCTTAGTCTAGATAAATTCTAAGGTAGTCCCTCTACGGTTGAAATGTGATTTAAAATTTGTGAAATAATATTTAAATTTATTTTGAATGTATTTGAAAAAAGGGAAAAGTTCACCAATGTCCCTGTAGTTTGCTTTAGAATCATTTATGCCCCTGTGGTTTTTTTCCTATCACATATGCCCCTGTGCTTTGTAAAAAATAAGAAACCACAGGGGTATATGTGATAAAAAAACATACCCTTTTACAAACTACAGGGGCATATGTGATAAGAAAAAAACCACAGGGGCATAAATGATTCTAAAGTAAACCACATGGTCATTGGTGAACTTTTCCTTGAAAAAAATCCTTGTATGATTAATTTATGTCATGTTTTCATTGAATTAAGTGCAACACTCTTAAAGTGCATGAAAGTTTCTACGGTTGTAGAGAGAATTTAAGAATTTCTTATTGAAGAGGAGATTCATTTTAGATTCCGCTGTTCACTTCTTAAGCTGATATGTTAGCCCTGGTCTAAGCAAGATGGTGATGATAGTAATAATAAATTACAGAATTTACTTCAATCTTATACTTTTACATCCTTCAACCATTTTTTACACTTTTAAGTTTGAGAATTTCTTAAAAGAGTACATCACCTAATAAAGTTGAAAAAAGAAAGAAAGATAACGGTTGAGATATATAAAACTATTAAAAAGTCCTCACCCACTAGCTTAAGCTTTTGGATTGAATTGGTTCTTTACATGGTATTAGAGCCTCGTGTCCCGGGTTCGATCCTCACCGCCCCCACTTTCTTTCAGGTGGAATTTCTTTGTTCGCAAAGGTAGGTTGGCCTGTGCATTGTCCACCCTTCAAGCCCAGTGGACTCTCGTGTGAGGGAGCATGTTAAGATATATAAAACCATTAAAAAGCCCTCACCCACTAGCTTAAGCTTTTGGGTTGAATTGGTTCTTTACATTAACTAACCCAACTATATTTATTCTATCCACTCATTTCTTTCTTATAGTCACCTAAATTTCACTTATTTATCTCTTTAGTACATACACAAGAGTAATCCTTAAATTTCACTATTCCATGGAAAGACCATTGAAAAACATATGGTGCCCATGACTCATTGGCCTATCTGGAATTGGTGGAACCTCAATATCCCCTTCTAACATCTTCAAAACATCCAAAATTGTTGGCCTTGAATCAACCATTACATGAGAAGACAGAATTCCAACCAGCAAAAATCTCTCCATTATGTTTATATTAGAATTTCCATCTATTAAGATAGAACCATCCAAAGCTTCTCCTAAGTCTCCTGATTTCATCAATGACCAAACCCAATCTGTGATCAAGAAAGTAGGTGTTCCTGCTGAAGACAAGTCAAGAGCTTTTCTTCCACACATAATCTCCAAAATAACCACACCAAAGCTATATACATCACTCTTCTCAGTTAGCTGACCATAGAGTGCATATTCTGGAGCAAGATATCCATGAGTTCCAGCTACTCTAGTATTTAGCTGAGACCTACTTTCACTGCTTTGTTTGGCTAGCCCAAAATCTGCAACCCTTGCCCTCATACCTTCATCAAGTAGTATATTGGTGGCTTTGATATCTCTGTGATAAATAGCAGGTTTAACACCAAAGTGCAAATAAACCAATGCATTTGCCACATCCAAGATTATGCTTTTTCTTTGAGACCATGATAGCCATTTCTTTGTATTTTGACTGTCCATGTTTGGAAATAGATGGTCTTCAAGGCTACCATGTGGCATATAATCAAGAACAAGATACCTTCCACTGTGCTCAGGCTTATCATCCTCATCAACCACACAACACCCTCTTAGAGGCACCAAATTGCGGTGCTTCAAGGTGCTAATAATCTCCACCTCACTATAGAACTCAGCATCCCCTTGAAATTCAGATTCTTCCATCCATTTAACTGCAACCATTGTGCCATCAGGTAGAATACCCTTGTAAACTGACCCAAACCCTCCTCTACCAATGAAGTTCAGAGGTGAAAAACTGTTGGTGGCCTTCTCAAGGTCCTCAAACTTGAACCAAGTTGAACCTGTATCTGGTCTTAATCTTATTTTGGACCTTTGTTCCTCTGGATCAGCATAAACAAGCGAATTTTCTTCATCTTTTCTCTTCACCCCCCTTGTGTACCAAAAATACAATCCTAACAAAGAACACATGATGACAAGGAATGCAACTGAAGCCCCAATCAACCCAAGTTCAAGAGCATGATGTCCCTTTCTTCTGGAACCCAATTGAGGATTAACAGACAATTCAAAAATGCAAGACATAACACCTTTGCTTTCAATGCCAAAGTCATTCACAACTCCAGCAATATAAAGTATTGTGAAGTAAAAGCAATCTTTGGAGTGTGAAGTGTTACCATCAATGGCAGTAAGCATATTCACAACCTTGAGTCCCTCCTCCACACATGCATCACATTTGGTAAGATCACTGAGGTCTGGTTTACATGCAGTGTCAAACAGTGGTGTAGGACCAAGCCTATAGAGCCAATCTTGCTTAGATTGAACATGAGCACAAATGTTAGGAGTGATAACAAATTGAACTGGATCAAAGCAGGTGGACACAAGGTTATTGGGAAATGATAAGGAAGTGAGCTTGGATTGGAAGTCTTGGAGGCAAGAGATAGATATAGGGAGATTGGGGAGTTGGAAAAGAGAGGTTTTCTCCAGGTTTTGTGCAAGTGCTATGCCAAAGAGGGATAACAAAGTTTGGCAACAAATACTCGTGTGTGTTTCATTTTTGGTTGCTAAGGGTTGGAAGTTAAGGCAGCCAGAGGAGTTCCAAGGGACTGTTAGTACATAATTCATGTCCATTGGACACTGAGAATTGTTGTTGGTAGGGGAAATGGTGGGAGAAGGTGCTGCTGAGCCTGGATTTTGAGCCACCACAAAGAATAAGAGAAGCACAAAAATAGTCTTCATGCTTATGATTGATATAGCTTGACATTTTTTGGTCTATTTATGCATATTGGGAAACAATAGGGACACTCATTTTTATATCATATAATGGTTAATGTCACGTCTGATATTTAATTCCCTATATATTAATATGCAAATGGGACCAACAACAACAAGAACATTAAGTATAAGACTTTTGTTAATTGCTATTTCCACATATGAGAGATAAGGCAGCATTAAATTCAGTCATATACAGTGACACAAGTGGTTTGAAAAACGGTTACAACCAAAAAGGAAGAATTGATTGTGGTGAACCTGAGTCTGAATGGAAGGTCTCTAGAAGAAACGTGGTCTTGGTCTTGGTCTTGGTATTTTATCATTGTTCCTAGACTACATACAAATACAATAACCAAAAAAATCCAAAATGAAATGGGATCCACCAGCAGCCACAATGAAATGGTGAAAAACTGAACCACTGGAGAGGAAAATATGAAGGAAGTAGATAGTAGAAACACCTGAGCACAGATTCAGAATCAAAGGAACCAAAACATGGTATCTTAATTACTATATACTAAAGTAAGATAAAGAAAATAAATGATTCTTTTTAAAGCTTCTACTTGATTCCAAATATTTTATACTTCTGAATGTTTGATAAATTAATTATGAACATAAAAAAAGTTAAGAAGTTAGTAGGTAAGTAATAAAATATAACGCTTTTTTATTTTTATTTTATGATTCATTTAATGAAAGTTCATTACATTATTCAAGCTTGCATGCCGGTCAATGTTGGTTCATGACTTTAATGCAATGAATTTAATTCTTACGAGTTAATAGCATGACCCACTCTTAAGATGGGTGTCATTTGATGTGGACAACGACCATACATATGGTTAGACTTGAATGAAGAATTCCCCCACCGTATAGATATAATTTTTTATTTTATTGTATTTGACTTTTTTGTTTTGTTTTTTTTTTTAATAAAACGTGGGTTATAAGTAATGTTATTAAAACCGATCTGGTTATTGATCCGGTTAAGGTATCGAATTACTGAGTCATTACTTTTACTGGATAACCCGATAATTATATGTGATCCAATTTTGTCGAAGAAGAGGACATACGCTGATTTAGAGAATGAAATTGAGATGAAGAGTATCTATGAAGAAGTAAATTTATCTTTAAAGTAAAGAAGTATAGATGTGTTTATGTTGATTTAGTTTAAATACATTGTAATTTAAAATATTATTTATTAATTATCTAAAAAGATGTGAACAGTAAAATGAACCTAGTAATTCAATATACTTCCTTTCTCAAAATATAAAAATCGACATAGATGTGACGAAAAGCTTCTTGATAACGAAGTTAATTATTTTCACCAATAAAAATGCTAATTAATAACAAAATGTCAACTCGTACGCAAGTTCTTATCTTAATTTACTATAACCAAAAATCACTTTTATTAAACAACCAACCAATAAAAAGCATGATAGAATTTTTAATGATAAAATAGAGATAAGTTATCCTTATCACTTTTTATTTTTTTTATCAATTCTTATTATTATTGAATCAAAATCAAATCATCGATTATAAAATAATACCAAATAAAAGTCATTGATTTAACTTTGATCTAACGATAATAAAATTAGTTGTAAGTGGTAAAAAAAAAGTTGATAAATAACCTCCCCAATAAATATAAGAACTTATAATGAAATATCACCTTTGCATATATGTAACTAGGAAAATAAAAAATTGTACAAAAATATAATGATATCTAAGAGAAATATATAATTAAATTTGATTAATGAGACTTATTTAATTTTTTATTTCCCAAAGTATCATCCAGCCAACAGCCGAAGACTAATCCTTTCGAGTCAGGAGATCACATTAAGTGGGTAAATCTCTCCCAACAAAACCTTCTCCATACACACGGCCAGAAATCGAACCCCTATCAGCATACTTAAGGAACCAGCTATCTACCAACTGTGCTGGACTTTGTTGGTAAGGAGACTTATTTCTCAATAGACCAAAAGGTTTATTCAATCATACAATGTCCCAAGCTAATATGGTTACCATTAAATGGCACAAAGTAAAAAGGCAAATCTTACGCAGGAGAAATTCAAGATACTTCTTGTACAGTAATTTTTAAAGGTAATTTATACTTGCAATATTTTTTTATCTTCCAATCACTTTGTTATTGTTAGATCAAAATTAAATAAAAAACTTTTACTTGATGTCATTTTATAACTATTTATTTAATTTTGATCCAATGATAACAAAAATAATTATAAGAGATTATAAGGAAAAAGAAGTTGTAGCTATAACCTCCCTATTTTTTTATGACTAAAATTTGATTTTAAAACTTATACAATAATATTTTAAAGCTAATTCAATAGCCTATAGTATATGGTTATGCAATGCATGCGTCAAATTATTATATGGTTATACATGTTTTACACAAGAATTTTCCACCCACCGGAATTACATAAGAATTTCACATTGAAGAGGAACTATTTAGGACCTTTGTGGGTGACATCTAAGGCTGGTAAGTTAGCCCCGGTCAAGTAGATGTGTCAAGAAGTTGAACTACCAGATGGTGGGCGCTGCTGAGAAAGAAAAGGAACTTCCACCACTGTTCCATTGATGTTGTCTCCAACAATTACAGTGTCTCCTTCTGAAGCAGCTTGCCTCTTAATGTAGCCTAATCCAAAGTGTTCAGATTGCTTCCTTCCAGACGCGTAACTAGTAAGCTTTCCAACCTGCACAGTTTGCAAAAACTATCAATTTTCTTCCAACCCATTTAAGGGGGAAAATTAAGATTATATTATGCAACACAACATTACGAGCACTATGTTCAACTGGGAGTTACTATGTGAAAATGTCTATCTTCCTCTTTTTATCCATTGAAAAATAAAGTGAACTTTTTTCAAAAGAAAATGCTAGAACCTTTTTCCCATCAACTGTAATAATGCTGCCAGGTTCTGCGGCTGCAGAAAGATGAAATCCCCATAACCTCTGCTTGACTCCATCATATGTTATGAGCCTAGATATAGTTTCCTGTCCTTTGTAACAACCTGAGAAGACCAGAATCAGACTAACTATCAAGCAAGTCTCAACATTTTGTGTAGTTTGGCAGTAGCAAGAGAAGTTGCACACCCTTATTTAGAGAAATTGAGTTCCATAGACAAGCCTCCAGGACATTGAATTCTTTTGTAAGCTCCATTCCAGGAGCAGGCCTTCCTGAGAAGTCAAGTTCAGGTCAACAGTGGACAAAAGAATCTTAGTTAATGAAAATATATATATATACACACAAACCTGCATTCCTAATTATTTCAATAATTGTTTTTTCCCAGTTTCATTATCCGGTAGAATAATGCCATTAAACCTCAAAACAAATATTATATGCTTACTAATCTTCTAGTGACAGTGAACACCGGCTATTCTTAAATAGAAGGCACATTGTGCACTCCAGAATTGAAATTCTTACAAATTAAGAGCAACAATATCTAAATGCAATTGTGTTCTTTACTGCACTAAAGCCGGCTTGGGCTTAAAGCATTTTTTACATATATACTTGAAGATTTATGTTGAACAATATCTTTATTTGAGAAAATTGCTCAATGCCAACTTCCGGACACGGCTCCTCTAAATTAAGCAAGTATAGGTGTAGAGGATCAGTGGCTCCAATGCATAACAAAAAAAGGCATGACTAATCCACAAACTGCAAGTGTGGCAGATGCAGACAGGGTATTTGGGAGGGAAATTTTGTTATGGCTAGTAATGATATAGAATGAGAGGATGACAGAGACAGCCGGCAGGAAAAGAGTGGATAAGGTTAGGGAGAGAGAACAGGGGCCTCTCGGATGCCCTGGGTATCCTAATGTCAGGTCATCTCTGCATTCCCATTGTAAATCCATCTTACAGTACTGATATCACACTGTTATTGGTTTTGAGTCTTTTGACAGTTGAATAATACAACATGCATACCTCATTTACACTTAGTCCGAACCAATTTCTATCAAATACATAACTACACTAACAGATCATCATACAAAAGCATCATACATGCTAAGAAAGCAGAAAGAAATAACTACAAGATATTAACCTAGAAATATGCACATAATGTAAACAATTCAATACCTTGAATAACCCGTAATTTATTCCATGCATTAGAACCCATAGGGATAGCCCCTTGAGTAAGAATAGCTTTCCAGACAGATGGAGCAGCCGCTGGAGACATCAAAAATGAAAAACCACCTTCAGAAAGGATATTTCCAACCCCTATAGTTACAGGCTGCTTATCAACCTACAAAATTAAAAATATATTTGAGAGAATTTCTTCAATAATATTAATGGATTATGTTGGTCATTAAGCTTTTCAACAAAAGGGAAAAACAACAACAAAAGAGAGATAATAATATTAGGTATTGCTGTTGAAAATTTACTACTTTCAAAGCAAGGTAAATTACTTATTTTATTTTAAATTTGGAAGTTTATGTAAAAGATGTAACCATGGGAACTTGTTGCCAAAAACAAAAGTCGTAATTTGTTATTATATATAATTATTGACAATGTAAACAACCTCCATTTCTTACATTAAGAAAGTTATCTATGAGAAACAAATACAAAAACCTAAAAAAAAGAACATATGACACGATTGAGCATGTAAGATGTTTTTTGACAAAAATAAGAAAGGTTTAGGCAGACATAACTATGCAGTCATCACTAAACATATATGAACAGACAACAGTTATATCTTGTAGTGGGTAACCATTGGTGAGAAGAAAGACAGCTAGTAATCAGCATACATATTTCACAAAGAATAACAAATTTGGTCAAGCTTACGGTAAAATGTTGATGTGTTCCATATGATTTTCCAACAAGATCACCAAGGTTCAAGTTCTCCATCACCTGTTAAGTTCATTATATTGAAAATTACCAACTCTATCATCTCAACACTAAATAGGTATAATAATTTCTCTTACTTGGCCACTTTTGGGTCCCACCAGAACAAATAAGCTGGTTTTCTTAGTAATGTCTTGAACCTCAACCTTATCAGCAAAAAAAATGTACCTTAAAAACATTACATATAAAAGATTTAGTTCACGTATTGGATAACATTCATGAGGAAAGATAACTATTTGAATTCTCTCTCTATCCTTTTTTCAGAATTAACTTCGGTGGGTGAACTCTTACATTACAATAAACAAGAAGTTACCTACTTGTTCAGCATTTCAGTAATGGTCCTACAAGTCTCTGGTGAAACCACTAATGTTATTGCATTTTTCTGTCAAAGCAACAAGAGAATGTGGTAAGCTACATGAAATTTAGATATCATTGCATTGTAGAAAAGACAACCACAAACGGATTTTGAGAGAGGGATGTAGGAAAGAAAATTACCATGATCCATGCTTGTGCAATATCTATTGTTCGGGCTGTTGGTGTTACAAAAGCAGTGTCACATCCCTAGGGATTTCAGTTAGAGATCCTATTACTTAACCCTGTATTATAATATGAAATATAAAAATAAATTGACAAGAACATGCAATACATAAATGCAGTCAAATATGCTACTTTCTACCAATACGTACTTGCCCTGCCTGTAGACATTCAAAGTTTGCCGTACTCTGGTTGTGAAGGAAATGAATGCGATCTTCTCCACCGACTTCATTTCATGTGTAGAAAAATATTTGCATTAAAAATTAAGAAAACATTAAACCGTGTCAAGGATCAACTCTCCCAATAGCTTAAGTTGTAAGGAGAAGGCTTATTATACGCCACTTCACAAGAGCCATTTGGGCTTTAAGCATGGCCAATGCACAAACCCACCCTACTTGTGCTTAAATTCAACATCATCTCATGGAGGCCCATCTGAAGGACCAACTATCATATTAGCTTAGGCTATTAGGTGAAGGCTCATGATTGATTTTATATCTCTAACAAACCATAAACACTATCGATTTCTCACTTGATACAGGAAACTAAGTAATTACCATAAAAGGAAAAATAAAAAGATCAAAACTCAAGCCACTGCTAATTCAATGCGAGTGATAATAAGGTGGCAAAATAAACTTGTGTTATATTTGAATAAGAATCAGCTGTTGTAACATATGAATTAAAGTAAATAATGTGTATGAAATATTGAATAAGTATTGGAATTAAACCACCTTCAACCATAGCACACGCAAATGCATAGGTTATTCTTTATACCATGGCACTAGTGAATTTTTAAATCCGAAAATACACAAACATATATTGTACATCTGCTCAGTAAAAAATTCAAACAAATGAGTAGCAACATGCTTTTCCATCTTCAAATTTAATAAGAGCTAACCTGCATGAAAAAGGGCAACCCGGTGCTTTATGTACAGCTAGGTGTAGAATCTTTTGATTCTGTTTCACAGACAAAATCATTACCTAGTTTTTTAGGCCCAAATTAGTCTACAGCCTTTACTCTACAGTTTTTTTCCCCCTAATTCCTTATTTATGCTTCCATCGTGTAATCAATAGAATAAGGCAAATACAATATTTCCTTTACCTACTTTCACTTTCTGACCCACTCTTCAAATAGAGAGAAGACCCCCATGGACATCCAAAGCACCCTTCAAGGTTAGTATTTCACTGGGACTGCAGTTCTCAATAGGATATTACTAATGATATGCTGCAAATTAGGAGAACCCTAAAGCTCTCTGTCCGAACATATTTTTCATGTGTGGCTTTAGCTCTGAAACAGTTGCTCACCTTCATATTCTATCTAAGAGACATTTTATACAACAACAAACTATTGACTTAAATTAAAAGAAAAACATTTCTACCCTTTTTTTTTGTCGGTAGTTCTTTTATACATGTTTGCAACGTTTTTACTTTATATAATCCCAACATGGCTGAGAAAATGCTTTGCTCCTATGTAGAGAGGCAACAGTGTAGAAAAAGCAAGTACCTCTTATCCGGCCAAAGTGTGAGAGATCCACAACCTATGCCATTAGATGCCACAAAGAATTAAACTAAGTTAACAACTAAATCCCACATTATCTAACAAGTTATCAATGTATCATAATAAATTGGTATTGAGCTATAAGACTTCAAAATAGGATTAGCTTTTACAAAACTCGATAGCACGTTACTTCAAAGTAATCTGTAGAAACTTCAAAATTACAATTCAATAATCGACAACCATGAGCTCATAAAAGCCATGTAGGCTAGTTCACTTGTTGTAAAATTGGGCAGTACAAAGTCAGAGTTTGAAAACAAAATTAGATGCAAGAATAACAGAAGTAAGTGCCAACAAAATAAGCAGGCAAGATTTACTACAATGTAGAGAACATAAATTAATGAATTCAATTCAAGGAAATAGAACAAGTAGAGAACATGCATTAAGCTAAAGCAATAAATATTAAATAAATAAAATGCATACCACAACCCCATTGTCCACAGCATCCAGTGCTTCATCATCATTATGAAATGTCTCAATGATCCCTTCCCCAGAAACCTCAGCGCCAGCACTTTTGACAGTGTCCTGCAACGACACAAAATAATAATTTGACATTCAAAAAGTTTTTTTTGCCACTTTTTCTATAGCAATATCATATGGGGGTATTTTTAAAAACTAATTATATGGGTTTTTTTTTTAAAAAAAAAAAACCAAAATCATGTTTATCTATCATCATAAGCAAAACCAAGAAAATAAAAAAATGAAAGTTTCGTTGAAGTGTTTGAAATTACGAGGAAGTCATGGTCGATGGGAGGAGGGGAAAGGTCGAAAGGTAAGGCCTGAGCTGAAATGGACCAAGACGTTATCTTCTTCTTCTTCTTCTTTATCATCATCATCATCTGCTGGTGGGACCAAAACGCAGCGTTTCTGGGCAATAGAGACAGACGCCATGCTTCGTTTCGAGGGCTGAAGCAAGTTGGTAGTGACACAGTTGACATTTCGGACTAGATAATTCACAACAGAGTTGGAGACACACACACACTCTCTCTTCTCTTTTTCGAATTACAATAATAAGAAATTTAAAACGAGAAAGACATTGGCTCTATGTGGAATCTTGAAAGTTGAGTGCATCGAAGATTCGCAACGACAGAGATAAATAGAGAGTGATCATAAAAAGTCCAAAACCAATAAAAATATATTTTAGTTTTGATTAATTTCTAAGAAAAATCGCTTCTTTTTTCTTAATAAGATTATAATTATAAGTATGTTTTGAATGCGAAATAAGTCAAGTTAATCCAAACAAAAACTGAAAATATCATTAGTAAAAATGAAATGTTTTAATGGTTCTAACATTTTAAACTGTAAATGGTTATTTCTTCCATGATTTTTCAATTTTACTCACCAAAAGTATAGTTTTCAAGGAGAAAAACTTTAATGTAAGAGAGCACCGAATTCAGTCATGGAGTTAAATTTTTCTCATTTTCAAGACATAAAAACGTAAACCTTGGGAAGCGAGATTTTAACAAATGTAATAAACTCTTTAATCGAATTTCTTTTTTCATTTTGTTTGATCAGAGGGGCAAAAATAGTATAATAAAACAATTAAGTGGCTTCCTATAGATCAGCTAGAAAGTTTTCGAATAGATGCTTTCATATTTGAGTTAACATGACGTTATATGAAATGATTTTAATTAATCATTTATAGGTAAATTAATGGTGATGAGAAATAAAAGAGAAAAAATATTAAAATAAAAAATGACAAGATCATCATAACCATTAATTTATCTATAAATAATTAGAATTCTCTTACGTTACATGATCATATTAATTAACACATAAGAGAATCCACTCTGTGGGATTAATTTATCACCGTACATGTACACTCCTACACAAATAATCTAAAAATTTCAATGTTATCATGCCTAGGAGGTTCACCAAATCTTGGCCGTGATATCTCACATATCAGGACATGGGAACAAAAAAAATAAAAAATAGTTTAGGCCATCAGAGAAAGCACCACCTAAGATCCATAATAAGAATGAACTGAACGAATTGATAGATCAGAGCCAGGGGCTGCTTTCAGCTTGTTCAAAAATCTGTGCAAGGTTGGCTACCCTATGGATCATCAACTACTGTCTCCTGGTCCATTTTGAGGCATCTATGGATAGAATCCAGACTTTCACCCCTGCCCTGGAAGTCAGGTCCGTGTTACTTAATCCTTGGTTCCGTGCATTCTTATAAATGTATCAATTAATCCAACCACGTGTATATATATTAAGTGAGATTATTACCTTTGCTGAATTAGTGAGATGTACTTGCAATTGACTCTGCTTAGTGGCTGTATAAGCACCTTACTAGTAAGGGTTTCCAGGAATATAAGCTGGAATGATACCATTATAAATAGAGCCAAGTATATGCACTACAAGCAAATTTTCATTCACCCAGAGACTTTATCACCTAGAACAAACTATTGCGTTAAACATTGAAGGAGCCTGAAGTGGGAAGTTTAGGCACTCTATGCTTCCCAGCACTAAGGCATTGCAAATACATATTTACATTTGTGTCTCAGCAAAGGAAAAGATTGCACTGTAAATTCTTTAGAGTTTTGATGCTAACATGTACTCAACTTTGCAGGGTAAGTCTAGTCCATAATTAAACGGGATTTGAAATGTGAAATCCACCTCCTTCAATAGCCTTGACTCTTTGGCCCAGATTCGATCACACGTGCAATCGAGTTTGCATACTTATGAAACTGCAAAAATCCACTCACAATGTTTCAGTTATTTCTCATTCACTATTACAGTAAGCAATGCACGAATCATCACTAAAAACTTACAATCAACATGGCAGAGCTGAAAGGAAGTATTCAAGCTCGTTCCACATAATAATTAAACAGTAAAAGAAAAGTAGAATCTATGTGAAAGTTGTAACTGTTATAAGCCAACTTTCGAAACTGATTTTCATTTTCGTTTTCCTTTCATGAAGGAGGATCTATGGGTGCAATTTGAAGCTATTTAAGCCAAGCACGGCAATTAGACCATACAGGTTTCCAAAAGAAGATAAATGGCCATGTACCTCTTCAACTATCTCTTCACATTTGCGATCTAACTGTTCCACTTTAACTGCTCCATAATCTTTTACTGATGTAATTTTACTATTTATGGCATTTACCTGTCAAATGCAGACAAGAAATAACAATTTAGTCTTTCATCAAATTTTCTTGATAAATAATGAAACTTAAAGAAATGGCACCTCAGATAACACAGCCTCAACATTTCTCTGCCTCGTTTCCATGGCACATCTCTTAGATTCCACCTCTGATTTTTTACTACTTAGGTTTTTAGTTGCTTCCTCCCACAGAATATTGCACTCTTTCTCGAACTGCTTACTCAATTCTTCTTCCTGCTCAACTGAGGAAGCGAAAACAAAAATTTGAAGGTAAAACACAACATATATCTATGTTTAAAGAGTAGTGCTATATAGCGCAAAAGTTTTTCTACAATAACCTAACAAAATAGTACATGCAGTTGTGCTGCTTTGCAGTCAACAAATGCTTTTGTTTTTTTATAGGAAAACTAAATTATTGGATGGAAATCATGCCAGGTCATTCGTGAATGGCTTTTGTAGTAATGAGTTTCGGAAAAATTACCATTACTCATCCTTAACCATCTATCTGGAAATGGAGACACGGTGTTGCTTGCACAAGAACGTACCTTTTTTTTGTCTTTCAACCAATTTGGCATCGAGTGACTTCTCCAGTACTTCTTCATCACTAAGTTTAGCTTTTAATGCTTTAAGATCCTTCTCAATAGATTTAGCAGAATTTACCTATAGGAGGTGCTACTGACATCAAACAAGAGATTTTGCACAGTAATAATCTTTGAAGGAATAAAAAGAAAAACTCCTCACTAGATCTCATATCTCTAAGACAGCATTCCAGTTATAAATTCCATTCAAATTAAAAATAGGAAAAGAAAAAGTCTTTTCTCTCCCCATTATACAGGGAGAATTCATAGTAAATTTTCAATCATTATGATAAATGCAGAGCAGAAGTCAACTGACAAGAGTATGTTAATACCTGTTCTTGTATAGCCTGCATCTGCTTGTAGTGCTTTGACATTTTCTTGTAAACCTGAAATTAAAAAAAGAAAAGAAAAAGATAAAGTGATCTGTATTAATCATGGCAGAAAATTATGAATATAGCCATGTGTTCCTACATTTATTTATTTATTTGCAGTTTGCTTTCTGAAAATGATAAGTAAATGGCTAGGAGATCAGAGCATAAATTACTTGACCATTATAAATAAAATTGAAGATAGAACAACAATATCTATGGTAAATTCCGTAATGCAGTTTGAGTACTCCCACTGGCCATGCTATGTTGATGTTTGTTCTTTCAGCCACTTTATAAGGGACAATTCAGCTTGCATAAGCCCAACCCAGCTTCAGCAACGGCACCAACTAATTGGCTACTGAGTTAATACATATGCAATGCAACCCCATAGATTTCGTAAAAGCTCAATTGCAGGAAACTGCATCCTAGAGTAAATTTTAAGTAATTAAGGTAGAAACTCATGATAGCCAAACAGAAGTGTATTAATATAAGTAGATCTCTTTACCATGACCTGAAAGGCAATTGAAGGGCAAAAAAAGACCTAGCCTGTGACAAAATACCTTGGAATAAACCTCATCAAGGGCAGTCTTCTCATGGAAAGTTTGCATTGCTAATCTTTCAGCATTTCTTGCCTCCTCTCGAGCTAATTTCTTTTCCTCTAAAGCCCTCTTCATGCCACATTAGAGAAGCACACTAACATGAGTAAAGAGGCAGAGAAAAATATCCTAGATCTCTATACACAGCAAATATATCTAAACCATGCATGCAGTTTTAGTTAAACTTCATAGTAATAAAAGTTTTATGGTTGAATTAAACTTTAGTCCCTATAGTTTCCACTTAATTTCAATTTATTCCCTACAGTTTTTTTCTTTTCAAACCAGTCCTCACTTTCAACTACAAACATTTTCAAAATAGTCCCTTCTACCATTTTTCATTATCACATAGTCAATCACAGAATCATAAGTTAATTTTATTGTAGACAGAACCAGAGCCCAAAATTTACTTTCTAGGAATATGTAGGATTTTTATCGATTGATATCCCAGTTTCACTGGATATCATCAATGTCTAAAAGAACTTCATATTTCTTATTTTGTAAAAGGAAAGAGTACTTATTTTCATAGATGTGATCTAAGCGTATGAAATATGTAAGTACACTTTTTAATCTCTGAAAGGAATTATGCAGTAGTAGCATTATGCAGAAAACAGAACAACATATGAGATACATCATGAACGCAGCTAATTTTAAAATAATTTGAATCGAGTAGTAGCATTAAGCCGATAACAGAACACGGAAGTTATTTTGTTCAAAACTTTTGGTGAACAACAACCAATTAAGTGCCTACAACAAAATTTTGGCATTACAAAAGAATCATCATTTCTTATATTTAGTAAAAATCCACGATGAATCAAAGGAAAAGGACAACAGTTTAAAACTACCAATGTTTTCCAAACTAGTATCTGACCGTGGTACAAACATAAAAAAGTAAGGTAGTCCAATAATTGCCAATTCATATTCACAAAAGCAGCTCGGCTAGAGAAATGCAAAGTACACCCCATTTTGTAGCTAAGAACATAAAACCATTATTAACTTTGGTTATGCCTACAATGGAATAGCATAACAAACAACATGAATGAATTTGATTCACAACAGATTCTAATGAACTAATGATTGCTGAGAATCAAATAAATGTGGTACCTGTACTTTATCAGGTGATTGAGCAATTTTTGAACGTAGATTTGCATTTTCTTGAACATTTTGTACCAGTGTAAATTCAGCATTAGAAATCTGGGTTAAGAAAAGGAAAATAGGAGTTAGAATGATTAATAAAAAATATATTCTATGCACCAAGTACCCACACAAAGTAGTCCAACTGGAGTAGGGGGGATGGAAGTGAGTGGACCAAGAAAAGAATCTCAATCACCAAGCTGAAAACAGAGCTAGTGACAAGCAGACCACTATGTAACATTCATAAGAGTAAAGAACGCCAACCATAACTCAACACAAATGAAGAAATGCTTCTATCCAACTAAATATAGTAGAAATGATCTGCTTAAGCATTAATTGCTGATTGTTATAAGCAGAAAATGAACACCGAATCCGCCAAAAACCAAAGCTTGGTATATATTTACAAGCTTCAACTTTGTAAGTCTAAGTGAATTTGCTTACATAAACTTTCACTGTGCTGTTGTTTCTTTTCATACACTATCCAACATCACCAACATCAAGATGTAAATTTCAATAACTCATAATGCTAAGCTTACATTGTTGGTGAAAGCTCACCTTCTCATCCATTTCCCCAATCTTATCCTTCAACTTCTTTAAAGAAGTCCTCAAAGACATCTGGTTGTTGTTGAGGGCCCCAATAGTTTGACGCAGTTCTTTAACTTTTGCATCCACCTCCTGAACAGCAGGCATCTCCCTTTCCTTTGCTTCATTGCATTCAGAAATCTCCGATCTCAACTGCAAAATCTTATGCTCTTCCAACTCCGTACGCTGCAACTCTAGAGCGTTAAATTCATCCACAATTTCCGATACCGAGTTCATTCTTACCTCCCTGAGAAAAGAAAGAAAGAAAAAATTCAAGTGAACCAGTGCTCTAGAATTATAGTCTATTATGATAATTTTGGATAAAGCAACAAAAATAAGAATTAGGTAATTTTGGTCTTTCTTTTTTTCATGAAGAAGTGAGAATAACCTGTCGAGACAGAAATTGAGAAGAGCGCCAAGGAAAAACTCTGTTCGGTGAGTATCAGGCATAAGAAGATCGGTGAAGACAAAATTCTTAGGGCACTCAAGCAATGCGAGGGCGTCCTTGATCTTAACGTAGAGCTTGATGGCGCGGACAGATTCGAGGTGAAAATCAGGGTTCTCGAGCTGTTCTAGGGCATCAAAGTCAAGCTGCTCGTTGTCTTCCTCGAGGAGAAAGTCGAGACGAATAAGGATGCGAGTGTACAGGTCCGAAATCAAGTCAGGGTTAGGGTTCACGAGATCCTGCTCCGTCACGTTCGCTATCTGAAACTGCCCTAAGATTGCTATTATTTCCGGCCGCCGCAGCCTTGGATACTCGTAATTCGACACCGCCATCTTCTTCTTCTTCTTCTTCTTCTTCTTCTTCTCCAAACACAACACACAACCCAAAAATTCTACAACGCGCCACGATAATGAGAAAATTAAATTAAATAGTGAGCAGTTTTCCCGCCCAGAAAAATATTTTTAAAAATATTAAATACTGATTAAATATGCTTTTAAATTTATCTAAAACTAATATTTTTGTAATAATATTTCTAAAATTGTCAATAGTACAAATATAACTTTTTATTTCGAAACAAATGCATTTTTTTAATACATTGAGGGGTCATGTGGTGGACAAATTAAGATTAATAGGAATAAAATCTCAAGACTGAACAAAAATAGAATATGATATAAGTTTATTATGCTTATATTGTTTAATACGCACTAGATAAGCGGTTTAATAAAATCATAATAACCTATCCTATATATTTGAGATGAATGAAACAGTATCAGAATATGATATAAATATACAAAAAAAATATATTATTATGAAATTTTGTATAATTTTTCTTGATCGATTTTCATGATATTGCATTCTTTTCCTAAGTTGTAAATATGTGATCTAGTTTTTGGACATCTGGACAAGGATTTATGTTCCAGCGATAGGCTTACAACATACTGAATTTGTAAAGGTAAATAGCAAACTGATCAATTGTATAAAAGTCCAATTCCACCATGCATTCCAAATTTGTTTCCCTGAAAAGAAATATATTACACAAAACATGAGGAAACATAATTCCTGCTAATTCTTCAACAAGTGCTTGATCTTCTAAGTTCTATCCATGTGCTCCAAAGAAAGGGCTTGTTCCAGTTCTTAATGATGAACTCTGGAGTTTAGAGGGTTTGGAGGGAGAAAGGAGTAAACTTAGAGGTGGTGTGCAGTAGGGGTGTTCGCGGTCTGGATTGGATCGGTTTTGGAAGCAAAACTCATCCGATCCAATTCCTTCGGTTTGATCATGTAATCATCCATTCGGTTTAGATTTTTTTTCAAATCCGATCTGATCCAATCCAATTTTTTTCGGTTTGGATTGGATCGGTTTTCGGTTTTTTGAATATCCTAAAATTAGTTTCAAGATTATTGTGCAAATAACATCTTTTGTATATATTGGCTTCGTAAAAAAAAAGAGTAAACACCCTTTTTAGTCCTTGTCAATATCTACGAAGTCCTTTTTAGTCCCTGACAATAAAAAAGGATCAAATTGGTCCCTGAAATTACAAAAAAAAGGGCCATGTTAGTCCTTATGTCAACTCCCAAATATGTAGAGTGGCCCTTTTCTTGTACTTTCAGGGACCAATTTAGTCCTTTTTTATTGCTAGGGACTAAAAAAGGTGTTTACTCAAAAAAAAAATTGAAATACAAAAATATCAGTAAACAATATTATAGTTTATGAGACGTGACTAAGTTTTTTTTTGGGTTTAGTTGATGAGTTAATGAGTCTTGAGTTTAGAAATTTGTGGGCTATGATTGGAGAAAGGACAAGTAGGTAGAGAATAATTAATAGATTGGATCGGTTTTCATCAACCCATCCGAAAACCGATCCAATCCAATTAAAATTTGCAGTTTTCTTTCGATTTCCGATTTTTCGGTTTTCGGTTTATTCGGTTATCGATTTTTCGGTTCGGTTTTCGCGGTTTGAATCGGTTTGGATCGGTTGATGAACACCCCTAGTGTGCAGTTTTGACGGTTCTTGTTGAAATTAATTTTTTTATGAATAAGAAGTTTGACGTAAAAAGATGTGTTATTTCGTCGATAAACGCATATGTCGTTTCATCAATACACGAATGTGTTGTTTTATCCTTGAATTTGTGTCTTTTCAATCATGATCTTACATTTTCTATAAATACATAGACAACCAAAATTTTAAATATAGTTTTTTCGTTGCATTTGCATTTGTATTTTCTACTCAAGTATGATTGGTCAGGTATAAGCTAAGTTCAATGGGCTATTTATTGTGGAAGTGTCGCCATAAGAATAGAGGAGGTAATTCATTCTATCATGTGAGACATTTATCTGCAAATCTTGAGCACCATAGAAAAGAAAATATTGTCTTAAGGACGCAATAATTTTCCTTTGTTCGTTCACATATTTTCGTACAATATATCTAAATTATGTTGTATTACGTGTTTCAGTTTCTTTTTTTTTTTTTTTTTTGGAGTTACCCAATCCTAATTATCTCTTTGAGACGAGTTGGCTCCCTCCGGTATCCCCACGTGTTTCAATTTCTTGTGTGTATGAATTGTGAATATTGTCAAAATAATTTTTTTTAACACATATTATTCCCTCTTAATAATTTTTTTTTATTATTTTGCTAACAATCTTAAGACAATATTAATTTGCTTTTGATATGTGTTTAGAAATCACATGTATGATTTTATTTCCCAAATTATTTTTCAAATTGGATATGTGAATGTGACTTTCGTTTACGTCATTATAATTAGTGACTGCACACATGAGAAATGCCTGATGTGATGGTTTGTGCATTAAATAATGTTTTAATGCTTTGCTTCAATCACTGTGCGTGAACATTTTGTCAAGAATGAGCGTTTGTCTTTTTACAATGCATTGAATGCCTCATGTGATAACGACAAAGGTTGAATTGCGCGTGAGGCAGCTTTATAATAGAAAAATAAAATAAATAAAAGGATTTACATTCATCATTTAATATGACACAAAAAAGTATCTATATACACAATATTTTGTGGAACCCACATTTTTGGAAGCAAAAAAAATAAAATTACGGCACGTAAAATGAATCTCTATAACATTACACAATCATTTTACCTCCAACATAACTCTTATTAAACCTATAAATAAATAACTGTTTTTTTTCCTCTGTGATGAACCGATGCCGTGATGCATCAAATACAGGTGATAAATGAATCAGGGATCTCTATCTCGACTCGTGAAAGCTTGAATTTATATATATAAAATTGGTTGTTAAAATCAGACTTAGACTTGTATAAAAGTTCATTTAATAAAAAGATCTCAGGTTTCAATTCAAAAGCTCGATCTTAGAGCCTTTCAGGGTGACCTAGTATATTAATTTTTTTTTATTTTATATTTTTTATACTACTTGTAATAACTCTTGTTCTCTTCTCAATCCATTTCACCTCATTTTATTGGTTAAACAAATTTTTTGAATGATTTTGTTCTATATTATGTTGTTTGGATATACATTGAATTTATGAAATTACTAGTGTTGTTGATTGTATATTCTGTTTGGATAAATTTTTATTGTCTTATTTTATTAAAACATGCTAAATCAAGCTTTTATTTTTTGTAAATAAGTCAGGTCATAAGTCGATAATTGTATTCATAACTAGAGCTGTTAAAACAGGCCAGCCCGGCCAATTTAGCCCTAGCCCAAGTGGGTTAGGGCCAAAAATCCCACAATAATATAGATCCACACTGGCGAAAGCCCTATGGGTTAGGGCTAGCCCGCGGACCTTCAAAAAATTTTATGTATTTTTTACACTACTAAAAAGATCATATTTTTTCCGAAAAATCTACGTTGCAAACGACAAAAAATTTCGTCAAAAAAATATTTTTTAGTTAGAATACTTTTCATTGAAAGGCGACAGAATTTTTATACGATGAAATTTTTTACAAAAATAAATTTCGTCAAAATTTTCGACCGAATTTAGTTTCAGTCAAAAGTTTTGACGAAAATGATTTTTTAAATATTTTCGATAAAAAAATCCCACCCAAAGTTTTGACGGAAAAAAGAATTCCGTCAAAAATTTTTGTCCAAAATTTTCGATGAAAATGTGTCCGAATGAAAAATTCGACGGAAATGTTTTTGTGAAACTTTCGACGAAATTTAGATTCCGTAAAGAATTTTGACGAAATATTTTTTTGCCGAATTTTTTTACTTAAATAATTTCCATCGATTTTGACGAAAATGTATTCTGTTGAAAATTTTGATAGAAATGTTTTTTATCAAAAAATTTGTCGAAAATATTTTTCGTCAAAAATTTTCTATGAAAATGTGTTTCGTAGAAAATTTAGACGGAAATTTTTTTCGTCAAAAAGTATAACGAAAATATTTTCGTCGAAAACTTTTGACGGAATTTAGATTTTGTAAAGAATTTTTTCGAATTTTTTTTACGTCAAATTTTTTTACAGAAATAATATTCGCCAGAACTTTGTACAAAAATATTTCAATGGAAATGTGTTTCGTTAAAATTTAAAGGGAAATATATTTCGTCGAAAATTTTGACAAATATGTTTTTTTGTCAAAATTTAGATTTCGTAAAGAATTTTGACAAAAAAAAAAATTCCTGTCAACAATTTTTACAAAAAAAATTTCGTCACAAATTTTTACGAAAATATTTTTGGTCAAAAATTTTCACTGGAAATGTGTTTTGTTTAAAATTTTCATAGAAAATTTTTCCGTAAAAAAAAATTGGCAAAAATGTTTTTTGAAATTTTTTTTTACATAATTGTTTTCTATCAAAAAATTTCGACAGAAATATTTTTCCTTGAAAAATTTGACGAAAATCTTTTTGTTGAAAGTTTCAACGGAATTTAGATTCTATCAAGAATTTTGACTGAATTTTTTTCCGAAATAATTTATGTAAGTGATTATGGCCAAATCTTGTTTCGTCTCTATTTTTGACGTAATGTGATTTTTTTCAAAAATTTCATCACTATTTTCAACGAAATATTTTTCGTCGATAAATTCTGTCAGTATTTGACACTTTTCTAATAATGTCACATTTAAAAATGATTCATATTTATGTAATTTTCAAATTTTAATGCTAAGGATAGATATGTCACATTTAAAAATAATTCATATTTATGTAAATTGGGTTGAATATTATAGCCCGCGGGCCAGCCCCAACCTAACCCTATAATAAAAGGGCTTTAAGAGGATGGGGTTAAAATGGCCTCATTACATAGAGGGCTAAAATTTTATAGGGCTTAACATTGGGCTACGTGGGCTGGCCCTAGGGCTTGAGCCCTTTTTGACAGCTCTATTCATAACAGGCAACAGGCTTGGTCAGGCTGACATATCTAAACACAGACTTAATCTTTTAAGATCAAAGCTCAGCTCGGCCCGGTCCATTAACACCCCTATTTGTGGAGAAAGATTTTGAATATACGTCTTGAAAGAATATAGTTGTTCTTCCTAATACAACTTGATAAAGATATTCATCAGTTTTCCCAAAAAAAAGATATCCATTATTGGGCAAAAAAATTAATATATTATATTTTAAATAAAAAAATTACGCATTTATTACAGTTTCGCTAAAAATTACGCATTTATTGCATAATGTCATGCCATTCTTGGACGTCACGTCCTGGTGGGTCACGCACAAACCTGGCGTGACATGTGACGCCCAAAAAGGGCATCACTCAGTTACCCTATATAAACCCTCATTTTTACCATTTCACTTTCACTATAACCTCTCTCTAACCAAGTTGTGCTCTCAACCTTACGTGGAATTTTCCGTAGCGAAGCTCTGCTAACTTAGGTAAGTTCCTAATACCTGCTATGTATACGTTTAAATTACAGTGCTACATTACGAATATGTTAGGATTTATCGTAGATCAGTGACTTAGAAAATAATGATAGTGACTTAGGAATTTTGTACCATGCTATGAATGTTGTAATGACTTAGTAATTTTTTTGTTACGTAGCTATTATTATTATTATTATTTAATTTAGCATTGGGGTTTAACGTATATTAAAGATTTAGAAAATAGTGATAGTGACTTCGTAATTTTTGTACCATGTTATGAATGTTGTAGTGTATTAAGAACTTTTTAGTGACTTAGGTGTTATTATTATTATATAATTGTGAAATTATTAGTGACTTAGGGTTTAGTATTATGTCATTACGGTTTAATTAGTGTCTGAGGTTTTATTATTATTTCATTACAAATAAATTAGTGTACTACGTATTAATATTATGTCATTAATTACAAATGTAGTAAATACGTAGTGTTTACGCTTATATAATTTTGATAGTAAATACGTATTAATATTTTGATAGTAAATATGTAATGAATAACACATCATCCCCTGCATATGGTGATTAAAACATCTTAATACAAACATCATAAATCAGGTATATAAAAATTCTATAAATTACCTTCATGATGATTTCCTAATTGTGCGAAGGCAACGTCATGCATTTGCGGGATTTGAGCGCCCACTGGTTCATGGTGTACTGGGATTTGAGACGCGCTCATATCACCACCTTCATCTCCTTCTGAAGCACTAGCATCCTCGGCCAGAAGACGTTCTTCCATTGCGATATTTTCATCGTCATCGTCGTCGTCTTCGTCATGCATTTCCCAAGGCGGATCATTTTCATCTCCCTCAGAAATGTTACCAACTGGAGAAGCATGAGAGACAGACGTTGATGCAAGACGAGGAGAATTTAAATCAACTGACCTCACCGGTAATGGAACATTCTTCGCTGTGGCGATGTCCACATACAATTCCAGAAAATCTTTCCTTGGCTGGTTGAAAAATTCTTCCATTATCATCTCCACATCTTCATCGTCAACCACTTGCAAACTAATGTATTGTTCAGATTGTCATAACCTTGTGGTGATCTGAGTGATACATTGGTTACCTTGAAGACTTAACTTCTGACGAATTCTCTGATGCAGTTGGTCAATGGTTGCGTTGCATTGGATACGTGTCGGCCTTTTTTCACCTTCAAACATGACACCTCGTCGATCTTCTACCTTCCTACCATTGTAATATAACACAACACGAACAGAATCAGAATGTGAACTCATTTTTAAATGAAATAACAAATAAAATAAAAATACTAAATTAAAGATAACAATTGTGTATGTAAAATGTAAAAATTGATGGTAGAGAAGAGATGTAAAGAGTGCATAGAGTGGTAGAGGATTATATCGAATTTTTTGACCCATTCACTCCCAGGGGGCATCAGGGCTGCATGTGTCACGCCCCATTTAGGGGGACAATGACCATATTGCCCCCTTTTAGGAAAAAATTTATCGGATTGCCACGTCAGGAAATTCTTTTGCCAAAATACCACGTCACAATCTCACTGGTCTGACAAGCGGGAATGAATTGGACACGTGACAGCGTCTGAATGGTCAACCATTCTAGCTGAGCAGCCTAGCGTGAATGACAGAATGCTAACACGTGGCAAAAGTACAGGTATCATGTACTTTTGCAGAGAATGCCTGGTTTCAATGGTCTGGAACCGCCTTGAGTCAGAGCATTTTGCAGTTGGAGCAGCTTTAACCCATGGGTCTTAAATGGAACAAGGTGGAGGTGTACCTGCAAGACACTCCGACGCTAAAGTCAGATTTGGTTCAAGCAGGTTTTAATTATGTAGAAGAAGATGTGTATCTTTGTGTTATCATATATGTATTTATAGTAGAGAGATGACCAGCTTGCAAGTGGTGAGGCGGCAAGTCTTCTAATTGGTTACTGTAGGTGGCTGAGATAAGCTTGACTTAGTGATGAAATTGGTTTGTCTTGGTGTCAAAGTAATATGGCTGTAATATTTAATATTGAGGAGCTTGCTGAGATAAACTTGGGAGATGGAGAAGAGTAGGGGTGTTCATCAACCGATCCAAACCGATTCAAACCGCGAAAACCGAACCGAAAAACCGATAACCGAAAAATCGAAAACCGAAAGAAAATCGCAAATTTTAATTGGATTGGATCGGTTTTCGGATGGGTTGATGAAAACCGATCCAATCCAAACCGATTCAATATATTAATTATCCTCTACTTACTTGTCCTTTCTCCAATCATAGCCCAAAAATTTCTAAACTCTAGACCCATTAACTCATTAACTAAACCCAAAAAAAAACTTAGTCACGTCTCATCAACTATAGTATTGTTTACTGATATTTTTGTATTTCAAATTTTTTTTTACAAAGCCAATATATACAAAAGATGTTATTTGCACAATAATCATGAAACTAATTTTAGGATATTCAAAAAACTGAAATCCGATTCAATCTAAACCGAAAAAAATTGGATTGGATTGGATCGGATCGGATTTGAAAAAAAATCTAAACCGAATGGATTGGATCGGATGAGTTTTGCTTCCAAAACCGATCCAATCCAGACCGCGAACACCCCTAGAGAAGAGGTAGCAGCCTTTGTTGACCAAAGTTTTGTTTAATGGTGAAGACCTTGAATGTGGGTCTCTTTTATGTAGGTCTCATATTAATATCGAGATCATTATTATTATTATTTATTTATTTCTTTAAATAATTAAGTTCTTAAAAGAAAAATTGTTTATCACTTCTTCGCCGGTGTCTCTTCTATCAACTTTTTTATCATTTTTATTTATCGTATTTATTTATGAAAAAATTCTTTACTATTACCGTAGTAGTGAATACATTATACATCCTTTATTAAATTTAGATAAAAGTAATATAATCAATTTATCTCATTTTACTCACTCTTTTATGGTTATTGTCATCTAAATTCTTTTTTTCTCTCCCTATTTTAAATAAATGAGAACATACTTCTATAATACCAAATATGTTCTCTCATTTATGGTGTTACGAGTAAATAAGTATTTATGAATACTAGGACTATAAATTTAAGTTATAAAGTTATAAATCAATATATAGGTAAATAAATTTTAATGTTAAATTTCTTAATTTTATTCAATAATTTAAAAATATTTCAATCAGTTAAATTATATATTTTCTAAGAATCAACTTACATTAATAATTATTACGTGAATAATGTATACTTTTAATTTTTTTTATCCTTGTGAATTTATTCATTAAAAATAGAATAATTTTTTTTTTCAAAATAAAAAATATCATAATATGTAATATATTAAATGAAAAATTATTTTATGGATTTATAAGTAATCTTGCAGGACTAAGTAATATTGCAGGACACAGTAAAACAGAAATTTTTGCCATATTAATTGTGTCGTACGTGGTCCTTTTTAACAAAATTGTACAATATTGTGTGCCCGAGTCTTCTACATTAGATTGGTGTTCGGAATTTGCCGGGGGTTACCAAGAAAACTCAGCACTAGTCATTTTCAACGTTTTTTTTTTTGGGATAAATTACCAAGAAAACTCAGCACTAGTCATTTTTTGTTTTTTTTAGTATTCCAGCACTAGTCATTTTCAACGTTAGGTAGGTCTTTAATTATTTGCATGTGTGGTTATGGCATGTGAACTTAATATACCACCTCATCAATTGTAACAAGAAAAGCGAAAATGGTATTCTCTTCTCAACTAGTTGTTGAGAGTTAAGATCCATATCACCGTACCATTCAAAACTCTATATATAGCCCTAGCTAGTTCTTCATGTATTATACAGTGTGAGCATTGACGCATCTAAATCCCCTTATTGCTGAGTTTGTTGCTTTTCATAGTTTCTTATTTGTATTAAATTAATACTCAGGTATGACTTCTATGAATTTCTGGTTTTTCTAGTCTTAGTTGTAATACTATGAGGTATAAATTTGTACGCTAGCTTACACTCTGAGTGTGAGATTTTCATTTGAGAATAAGATTTGACAACCAATTGGGACACTAATTTATTTGAAATGATTTTGAAGAGCAAAGGGAAAATCGAATAATTAAATGGAGTTGGACTTAACACCGAAGACAGCAGAAGCAATGTTTGAGGGAGATGGTGGGGGTTACTACAGTTGGTCAACTTCTCAAATGCCTCTCCTGGCTAAGGCCAATGTGTTTGCTGGTCGGTTTCGGCTTCATCCCCAGGGCTTCGCTCTTCCTCATTATGCAGATTCAACCAAAGTAGGTTTTGTCATTGAAGGTCAGAGCTCTATCTTTTTAATTCTACCTTATTTTTTTCTTTCAGTAACATACAAGTCTATCTTGAATCTTATAAAATTATTTGATTTTAAATATATTTATGGTATATAATTTAATTATCAAATTTACCTATATTTAATAATTATATATTATATGTCAAAATTAAGTTATACAATATTGTTACAAAATTAAGTTATACAATATTGTTTTAACTCTAGTTTTAAATTATTGAAAAAATTTATTTCCATGGATTTTAGCGTTTATATCAGTGTTTAAAAACTCGGCCCAGCCATCGACCCGGCCGAGGTCAGGGATCATGGAGTCACGGGTTCAACCGGGGGGTCACGGGGTCACTATGCTAACTTGACTTTATATATTAAAAATATATAAATATATATCATATTTAAAAATATGAAAAAACAAACCACCAATCATCGAAGATTCAAAATATACTTAACATATAATTCACTAATTATAACCACAAGTCAATATTACATAACCTAATTAAAGTATCAAGATACCAAAGTACAAAACTCATATTCTAATGGGATCAATATTCTGACCCAGTTCTGCCTCTTTGGATAAGGTCCTTGACAAAGGAAAATTTAAAGAAAGTAAGAATGAGTTTTTGTTTTCCATCGACGACCGTAAGGATTTCATTTGAATAGGTAAAGATCTTACCTTTTCTAGAAGATTCACGTCTGCGAGGTGAAGATTGAAGACATATAGGTTGCTGGGAGAGAAGAGAATGATTAGATTTAGATTTGCAGGCATTTTTATTTTTATTTTTTTTTAATAAAACGAAATTGTTTCATGGAATTTTTTTTTAAAAAAAAAAAACATGCAGTGACCCCCTTTGACCCCTCTGACTCGGGAGTCACTGAAACTCGGCCAGGTTTTGTGGATCAGAGGGGTCGATGTGTATATAGGGTCCAACTTGTGACCCCAACCCTTAGAGGGGAGGGATCCGAGTTGACCCGGGTCAACTCGGGGAACGGGGTGGAATTTTAAAACACTGATTTATATAATGGGTCTAAATGTGTCATAAACCCACAAAATAAATACATTTTTACCTTATTCACAAAAGTTAACATAAAAAAGGAAAAAAGAAAAAGAGGTTTCAATAGGCTCACGTACTTTGGAAACCCTACAAATTTCCATTTATTGCAATTAACCAATTAACTTACAAGACACGGATCTGGACGGTATGTGTTTAACAGTACATAACAGGTTTTTTTTTTTAGACTTTTTTGCCATTTATTAATTAATTAATAATTATTTTACCCCTTATTCAAAACTATATACCAATCTGCCCCTCTTAATCGATTAACTTGAAGATTTAATCGATTAAATGATCAAAACTGACAAAAATGGTTGACTTGAATATTTAATCGATTAAATCTTTAAGTTAATGGATTAAATCTCCCAACAAGCAACAAAGGTCAAATCTCCTCCATAAACAAAAGCAGATTCCATGCATATGAAGCAAATCAATAACCATAGATAACCAAACAAACAAAGAAACCAACAAAAAAAAAAACGATTCTTGGAAACTGGATTGATTTACATGAACTGATTTTGTTACTTTCCTTTTGATATAGTACGCCAACCTATTAGGTTTTAAAACATGATAAACAAGCAAATCAAAGAAACAAAAAAACCGCCGAGTACGCCAACCTCCAATCAGTTTTCCGTGTATTGGAGGTTATTTGAATTTTGAATTTAATGTAATAGGAGCTGATTGCGATTTGTATTTAATAAGAGCTGATTGCGTTTTGTATTTAATAGGAGCTGTCGTTTTACGAGTTGGTTACAAATTGTCACCAATTCAAATTTATTTGTAATTTGTAATTCTGAGCCCATTTATGGGCAACATTTCAATGAAATGAGTAAGAGTGTACATACCAATTTTTATCTTGGTATCACTGTAACCAACTCGTAAAATGGCAACCCCTAATAAAATGCAATCAGCTCCTATTAAATACAAAACACAGTCAACTCCTATTAAATACAAAACGCAATCAGCTCCTATTAAATACAAAACGCAATCAGCTCCTATTAAATACAAACCGCAATCAGTTCCTATTAAATACAAATTGCAATCAACTCCTATTACATTAGATTCAAAATTCAAAATTCAAAATTCAAATAACCTCCAATATCGTGTTTGTCTCATTCAATCAATGCTTTCACGCTCATTTGGGATATTCAATTGATTAAATATAAGTTTTAATCAATTAAATCAATTAAGAGGGATATTTAATCGATTAAGAGGGATATTTAATCGATTAAATCTTCAAGTCAACCATTTTGTCAGTTTTGATCATTTAATCGATTAAATCTTCAAGTTAATCGATTAAAGAGGGGTAGATTGATAGATAGTTTTAGATAAGAAGCAAAATAATTATTAATTAATTAATGAAGGACAAAAGGGTCAAAAAGCTATACATAACATGTTATTTGTTTTACTTATTTTTCAATTCATTTATGTTAGATCAACCTCTCTCTTTTTTAATTATATTAAGTCATTTTGAATCATTTAATTAAAATGAAATCTATGCTAGATATTATTAAATTCGATATTCTGATACTGTATTAATTATTCCGATGACCATGCACGTACCAATATATCAAATAAGGTAATTATCTAATTTGTTAAATAAGTGAAATATTATTACAGAAAAAAATGATATCGTGCATCAATTTAAATTAGTATAAAAATGTGTACCAAAAAAAAAACTCTAGAGTTGAAAAAACCTATCACGTAAAGAATAATTAGGGTAAGTCCGTAAGATTATATATGTGCATAGATTTATATTATTGACCGAGATATACATACAATTCTATATGTAAAAATTTAAATCTATGTGCATCACACACAAGAATTGTTGGTCTAGTGACCTAATTCAATTTTTTTAGAGTTGTATTTTTTGAAAAGAACGAAGATGCTCAAACCCGAAATTGGATCAGTGAGACCGGCTTTACACGATATATTTTATTAAATCTCCTTGTATGTTTCAACCATTTTATTAATTTGGTCAAATTCCCTCAATTGTGCAACATAAATGAAGGGACGAACGGGATAGTTGGGATGATACTTCCTAATTCTGGAAAAGAAGTGGTTTTGAAGCTCAAGAAAGGAGACGTGATACCTGTTCCTATTGGAACTATATCATGGTGGTTCAACGATGGAGACTCAGATCTTATCATTACTTTTCTTGGTGAAACTTCAAAGGCTCTTATTCCTGGCGAAATAAGCTATTTCTTTCTAACTGGGGCTCAAGGACTCATTGGAGGTTTCTCCACTGAACTTACAAGTAAAGTATATCATTTGAACAAAGATGAGGTGAACAAGTTCACAAAAAGTCAAACTGGGGCTTTAATAATCAAGCTAGAAAAAGATCAACCCATCATGCCTAAACCTCATATGAACCTCACTGAAAAGCTGGTCTATAATATAGATGTTGCACGTCCTGACAATAAGGTTGAAAATGGTGGATTAGTCACAACATTAACGGAGGCAAATTTTGCTTTTATTGGGAATGTTGGATTAAGTGTAATCAAGGTAAAACTTCAACCTCATGCTATTAAGGCACCCTCATACTCAGCCAGCCCTGCGGTTCAGTTAATTTACATTGCTAGAGGAGGTGGCAAGATTGAAATTGTGGGCCTGAATGGAAAATCTGTATTGGACACTCAAGTTAAGGCTGGTCATTTACTTGTTGTGCCACAGTTCTTTGTAGTTGCTGAAATTGCAGGTGAAGAAGGAATGGAGAGCTATTCTATCCTAACAACTACAAGGTAAATGCCCTCAAGATTCCAACAAATAATATATGGGGAAGGATCCGTTTACAAATTTTTATTACAAATTACACTATGTACTCCCGGGAAAACATAGTGTAGTTTGTAAGAGTTTATAAACAAAAAGTTTGTAAATATAACCCTTCCCATAATATATATATATATATATATAGGGGAGGGATCATTTGACTCCAGAGTAAGATTTAAAAGTTTTACTCCTCATCCCAACCCTTGATTTCCGTTCATCCAACGGTTAGCATTTATTTAAAATTAATAATTAATTAATTGTTGTAACTTATTAAATGTTAACCGTTGGATGAACGGAAATCAAGGGTTAGGATGATGAGTAAGAATTTTAAATCTTACTCTGGAGTCAAATGATCCCTCCCCATATATATATATATATATATATATATATATATATATATATATATATATAGAGGTAGATCATTTGGCACCGGTGTCAAATTTGAAGTTTGACACCTTATCTGAAAGCCGTTAGATCAAAAAAGATTAATGATATCACATGCTTACAAATCAGAGTCGTTGATCTTTTTTGATCTAACGGCTCTCAGATGAGGTGTCAAACTTCAAATTTGACACTAGTGTCAAAGGATCCTACCCCATATATATATATATATAGAGAGAGAGAGATAGGATATTCTTACACCGGTGTAAGAGTTAGAAGTCTTACATTATTAAAAAATTTGAACCTTCAGATATAAGTAGGATCAACGGACAAGATTGAAAGTGTAACTTACACAAGTGTAAAATGATCCCTCCCCGTATATATATATATATATATATATATATATATATATATATGACATGTAATAACATTTTAAAAATGAATGTTTCTATTATTTAAAAGAAGAGTGTTGATTTTCTCCAGTTGTAGTAGAAATCATCTCTTTCTTACATGCACATCGGAACTTGAGTTTCTCTGTTTTTATTTTTGGTAATACTTCTTTCATTTAATACGAGAGAAGTTTTTTTCCTACACTAACAAGAATGTGGAGCTCAAAATTTAAGAAAAATAAAAAAGAAAAAAAATTGCAGGCACATTTTTTTATGTCTCACTAACATGAGATAGTTATCTCCTACAGTTGGAGAAAACAATTTTCCTTTATTTTTTGGTTTTGTGTAGTGTTTTTAGTTTGTGGATCCCACATAATTTTGTGAGTGGAGGGATGGAGTTTGTTTTTCCCGTAGAAACAAATACTCCTTAAAAGAATGATACAAGAAAGTTATAATAAAAATAATCGGATATATATTTCTTTCTTTGCAGGCCTTTGCTTGAAGAGTTGGCGGGCAATGCATCCGTTTGGAGTGCCATATCACCTTCAGTGCAAGAAGTGGCTCTTAATGTGGATTCTGAATTTCAAAAGCTTTTCATATCCAAGGTCAAGGAGACCACAAATCTCATCTCCCGTACTACTAATTAGTTTGAGTTGTTTATGTACGTGTGTGTGTTTTAAACAATAATGGAAGCACAAAGTTTGCTCAACGAAATAAACAATATTTAATGTAATAATATGCATATTTGTTTTTGGTCATTAATTGGCCACGGCACCTTAATTTCCTAATTGGTTGCTGAACTACATATGTAATAATTTTAATACGCTGGTTGCATATTTCAATGGGATTTCCCTCTATTTGGATTTGCTACTATATATGCTTCACTCCCTCTATTTGAATTTCCCAAGGGTTTGTGAAAATTGATTTGGTTTTGTTAGTTTTGGTGCATCAAGTAGTAGTTTGATCTGTGTTTAGCATATAAAACAAAATTTGGAAAGAACCGGTTTCAAAAGATTTGATTTTTTTATGGTTTAGTTCTATGATGCATCGATACTTCAAAAAACGTGACGTGTCGTATCTGACACTTTCCGACACTCTTCGACATTCAAACACGCGTTGCAGAAACTCAAAAGGTTCAAAGGATGCGTTGTATTGCGTTTTTAGTTCCAATATTAGATTCGTAGATTATAATTATCATTTTATTGAGTTTAATATAAATATTTGCAATATCTTATGTTTCTTTGCAAAATTGATAGGTATTATTAATTTAGCTTCACTTTTTTGTAATGTTGTAAAAATCAAACCGGACCGACTGGGTCGACCCGGAACCCGGTGAACCGGTTATTTGACCAGTCCGGTTATCACATTGGATTGGCCAAGTACCAGACTCGGTGTGATCCGACAGGTTTTGATGAAAACTGGTGACCCGGTCGGTTAACCAATGACTCCGCCTGAGTTTTTTTTTTTAAATTTCAAAAAAAGCATAATTGACATATTTGAATGATCTATTACTTATTGACTTACATAAGTTATGTACCTACAATACTAATATTATCTCAATTATGTACTATGCAGATAAATTTGATTTGATTTATAGTTAGAGATATCGTTTACTGAACCTGAAACACTAATATCACAAGCATTAAATGTTTGTTTGATCTTTTATTGGACAATAATGTATAATTTATTATTTTTTATATTAAAATATTTAGAATTTATATTATTTTTTTCAGCTATTTGAGTATGTTTATAGATTTATATATAATCGTCGGGTCATGCGGTTCAACCAATGACCCACTGGTTGCAAAGAATGACCCAATGACCCGGCACTTTGACCGGGTCAATGACCGGATGGTTTTAATAATATTTTTTTGTTAAATTATTAAATATTAAATATAATATATATTACATAAATTTAAAAATATTTTTTAATATCAAGACGTATCCTACTATGTCAAAATTTAACATTTTTTAAAAATAACATTTCGGATTGTCGAATCGTATAGTATCTGTATTGGTATCGATGCAATATAAGTTTGTGGTTTAGTTTATAAGCTAACACACACTTTATCAGCCCCTAATACGGTCACAGCAAAGTTACTAATTAACACACACACACGGTCACAACTTTATTAGCCCCTAATACGGTCACAGCAAAGTTACTAATTAATCGGCAACGGTCACAGCGAAGTTACTAATTAATCACCAAGGTGTATATATATTTTTTACAGCATAGCGGAACAAAGGGGTTTAGGGTAGGCAAGGCAATTGCCTCTCTAAACTTTGCTGATTTTGAATTAATTGATAAAGCCATTTATTTTTTATGCGTGGGTTTCCATATCTTAACCTTTCTTTTACAATATTTTTTTGGCTCATCATTGTTTGAGAGAGGTCCAACCTGGTGCAACCAATTACCAAGCCCATTCGGGTCTAAACATTTGGTAACCTGTTGGGCTTTTTGACCAAACTGGAGTAATATTTTCAAAAGAATTAGTTTGGAAAGATAATATCAATTTAATGTAATAAATCCTACATATTATTCATACGAGATTAGCCTCGCACACTCCAAAGTGGATGAGTAAAAAACAAAGCATTTATTCCATTGAAGATAAGCCAAAAAATATTCAGACAATCCAATACATTAATCATGCCTTAAGCATGGATATCCAACCCATCCATAGATCCTGAAACTTATATGCATCTTATATATATCATTAAAAAATTACAGTTTTTCAGTAATACTATTGGGAACAGTCGAATTTTATATTTAATAATAGTAGTAACTAGTAATAATAATCTTAGCCTTTTAATATAAGGTCTATTAATCCTATTTCAATAGAAATATAAAAAGAATAATTAAATTGATAAAAACTTTTAAATATGTATAAATAGTAAGCAAATCAATAATATCACATTCACATCCAAGGACCGATCCATGTTATGGAGAGTGAAAGGCACATTATTTTTTTTTGTTAAGTTTTTTCCTATTTTTATCCACTTGTTAACTAATTTTGTTTCCGAAATTTATCATATATACTAAATTAAAGTTTATTCTTTTAAGAGTGATTAAATATTTGAGTGCAATCTTGCTTTAAAAAATAACACATGCAATTTTTAACTTTTTTTCTTCTAAATTTCAAAATTATTTTTTAATTGATTATGTACGTATCTTTATAATTTTAAATAATTTTATTTTTAACTTGAATTAATTAAGCATATTTTATTTATAATTTTAAAAATATTCTTAAATTGTCCATAAATGTTTACTAATTACTTCTAATTTCCTTCTACTCCCATAGTTTGTTGAGTAATTTAATGACACTAACCTTTTCAATATGAAGGGTAGACAAAGAAAAAATATAAAATTTGCCAACTTTAGTTTCCCATAAACATTATTCACGAAGCCATCTTTTCAAAATTTCAACTCCCATCTTCATTGTAGCCATCATTCAAAATTTCAAAGTCTTTTATTACTTATCATAGCTCATCCATAATATCCATTAATAATGTATATTAATAAAGGTATTCAATGGTTGGATTAACCATCGGACCTCGGTCCGAACCGTGTTAGCTATGGCAGCTTCAATGGACCTCGAGATAGAACAAATGGACGTGGAGACAGCATTTCTTCACGGTGATTTAGAAGAAGAAATTTTAATGGAGCAACCTGAAGGATTCCGAGCTCCAGACCAAGAAGACTTGGTATGTCGGTTGAAGAAGAGCCTCTATGGCTTGAAGCAAGCACCTCGGCAGTGGTACAAGAAGTTTGAATCATTCATGACTGATCATAAGTTTGAGAAGACAAAAGCCGACTACTACGTATTTGTGAAGAGGTATGAGGCCGGAGATTTTCTGATAATGTTGTTATATGTTGACGACATGCTTATTGTAGGGAAAGACAAATCGAGGATAGCCGCCCTGAAAAAGGCGTTGAGCTCGTCCTTCGCAATGAAGGACCTCGGCCCTGCAAAGCAGATTCTCGGAATCAAGGTCATCCGAGATAGACAAAAGAAGCTACTGTGGCTGAGTCAAGAGAAATATATTGAGAAGATTATGAAGAGATTCAACATGGAAAAAACTAAAACAGTGAGCACCCCCTAGCCGGACACATAAAGCTGAACCAGAAGCAATATCCGAGATCTGATGAAGACAAAGATGAGATGATGAAGGTCCCGTACCAATCCGCCGTTGGAAGCTTGATGTATGCAATAGTTTGCACTAGACCCGACTTGGCGTATGCTGTTGGAATGGTAAGATGATATCTGTCAAACCCCGGCAAAGAGCACTGGGAAGCAGTGAAGTGGATCTTCAAGTACCTCCGAGGTACGACCAACTTATGCCTCCGATTTGGAGAAGGAAAAGCCGAGTTGCAAGGATACTTAGATTCTGATTTAGGGGGAGATTCCGACTCGAGAAAGTCGACGACTGGATACATGATGAGACGAAGGAGCTGTCTCTTGGCAATCAAGACTTCAGAAATGTGTTGCACTATCGACAACTGAAGCTGAGTACATTGCCGCTACTAAGGCAAGCAAAGAGATGTTGTGGATGAAGAAGTTCCTCATGGAACTCGGCCATGATCAAGACAAGTACGAGCTGGGTTGTGACAATCAAAGCGCAATCCATCTTGCGAAGAATTCGATCTATCACTCCCGCACTAAGCACATTGATGTGAGGTATCGCTGGATTCGAGATGTGGTGGAAGGTGGAGAGCTCGAACTCGTCAAGGTGCACACTAACCAAAATTGGTCCGACATGATGACAAAGCCGGTTCCAGCAAGAAAATTTAAAGACTGCTGTGAAGGAGTCGGGTTGATGCTGAAGCCGACGCATTGAAGTCGGAGGGGGAGATTTGTTGGGCTTCCTCCTTCAATGCTAAGCCCAAGCCCATTGAGGGGTTTCCCAAAAATCCTAAACCTTATACCCTAAATTCCACCTCCTCTATATATTCATTAGTTGAGGGTGGATGCTAGGTCAGATTGAGAGAACGAGAGATTAGAAATTTGAGAGAAAATTGTTTGAGCAAAGCTTTATGCTTTGTATTTGAGAGATCTCTAGAGAGAGTTTGAGTGAAACATCTCTAGGGAGGTTTGATTATCACCATTATTGGAGAGGTTGAGTTAACCACCACATTGGTGAATCTTGATATTTGTAACCATTATTTTCATAGTGGATTTTTGATCTGGACTAGGTCCCTTGGGTTTTTATTACTTCTTCATTGGAGAAGGTTTTCCCACGTAAAAACTGCTTGTGTTCTCTCTCTCCTTCTCTTCTCTCTACTGTTTACGTTTTTTATTTTTTCGCTGCGCTGCCCGACCTGGTAAAGTTCAGGCAGAGGTATTGCCGAGATCCGAGATCAGGATCTTGTTGATTGATTTCCGCACAAAAAGCCCCTGAGCCGATCTGAGGGAACCAAATTCCCAACACGGAAATGATTAGCTTGGGCTTATCTTTGCAAGTTGTTTGCAAATGATGAGACGCGAAGCTTTCTAATTGATTCTTGTAGGAGGCATGGATAAGTATTGCAGAGGGAGTTGAACACGGCTAAGGTGTAAACACCCAATTTTGACCGTGTATGTTCTTATCTTATATTATTTTGTGTAGAGGCTTGTGTTTAAAATAATAATATCAAAAATATAATAAAGATACGGAAGATATGATTAAAGGGATTAAATAAGGGAGTAGTTGAAAATTAAAAAATGTATACTTGAAAAGGGTATTCTAATATATTATAGAATTGTAAATAATCTGTACAAAGGGTTCTCTATTTATAGAGAATATTTGACCTACTTTTAACCTAATGGGCTTGGCCCAATACAACAAAGGGCTTGGCCCAATACAACAATAAATGACTAAATAAAAACTAAATAATAACTAAATCAATATTATTTACAACACTCCCCCTCAAGCTGAGGAATAAATATTTATCATTCCCAGCTTGCTAGTAAGTTCTTGAAATCTGTCTGAAGGAAGCCCCTTTGTTAATAGATCAGCCAATTGACGCCCAGTGGGAATGTATGGAGTGGTAATCAACCCGCTATCAAGTTTCTCTTTGATGAAATGGCGGTCAACCTCAATATGTTTAGTCCGATCATGTTGAACTGGATTATGAGCTATACAAATAGCGGACTTATTATCACATAACAGCTTCATAGGTCCCTCACATTTTATTTTGAGATCATCAAGAACAATTTTCAGCCACAGTAACTCACAAATGCCTTGAGCCATAGCTCGAAATTCAGCTTCTGCACTTGATCTGGCAACCACATCTTGTTTCTTACTTCTCCATGTCACCAAGTTACCGCAAAGAAACATGCAATAACCAGTGGTAGAACAACGGTCAGTCACGGATCCAGCATAATCAGCATCTGTGTAGACTTCTAAAGATAGATTGCCATCACGTCGGAATAACAATCCTTTACCAGGAGTACCTTTAAGATACTGAAGAATTCTCTCTACTGCCTGCATGTGTTTTTCTTTTGGATCGTGCATAAACTGACTGACAACACTAACAGCATAAGCTAGGTCTGGTCTAGTATGGGCCAGATATATCAATTTCCCAACTAGCCGTTGATATTGTCCTTTATCAACTGGAGGACTCTCTTCTTCATAGCCCATCTTGTGATTCTGCTCAATAGGAGTATTAGAGGGTTTACACCCGAGCTTTCCTGCTTCTTTGAGAAGATCAAGAACATATTTCCTCTGGCTGATAAAAATTCCTTTGCTTGAATGAGCTACTTCTATCCCTAGGAAATATCTCAATTTCCCAAGGTCTTTGATTTCAAACTCAGAGGCAAGCCGTGTTTGCAGAATCTGTCTCTCCACAAAATCATCACATGTGATAATAATATCATCAACATATACAAGGAGCACAGTAAGCTTCCCATTTTGGGAGTGCTTGAAGAAAAGAGTGTGATCTCCTTAGCTCTGTCTGTATCCTAAGGTCATCATAACCTTAGTAAATCTTCCAAACCAAGCACGAGGTGACTGCTTCAATCCATACAAGGCCTTTTTTAATCTACAAACTTTATTTTCCCCCTTCGCAGAATCAAAACCAGGCGGGATTTCCATGTAGACTTCTTCTTCTAACTCACCATTGAGGAAAGCATTTTTCACATCAAATTGATTTATATCCCAATTGTAATGGGCAGCAAGGGATAACAAGATTCTCACTGTATTCATCTTTGCAACTGGAGCAAAGGTTTCTTCATAATCAATGCCATAAGTTTGAGTGTAACCTTTGGCCACTAATCGAGCCTTATATCTCTCAAGAGTGCCATCAGAATTATATTTCAGGGTATAAACCCATCTGCACCCTACTGCTTTCTTTCCGTTGGGTCTATCAATAACCTCCCATGTTTTATTTTTCTCCAAAGCATTCATCTCCTCTTGCATGGCTTGAGCCCAATTCCTATCTTTCAAGGCTTCATGTACTGATTTTGGGATTGCAATAGAATCTAGTGCTGAAACAAAGCTTTTATGCTGCACAGAAAGATTAGCAGAGGAAACAAAGTGGGAGATAGGGTATTGAGTACAAGAGGGACAGGAGGAACAAGTTTTCTTGTGACAAGATCTTTTTCCTTTTCTAAGAGCAATAAGTAAGTCATCAGAAGTAGAAGCAATGGGTAAGTCATTAGAGATATCAGAAGAAATAGACAAATCATGAGAGGAAATAATATTAGAATCAGAAACAGGAGATTCAGAAGAAATAGGAGATTCAGGACTTACCAGTGGTTCAGACGATTGAGGTTGCTGGTGAGACAGTATGGGTTGTATCTCAGGTGTATTTGAAGGTTCTGACACACCAGGAGCAGACACACTAGGAAGAGAGAAGATTGACCCAGACTCAAAGAAGGAAGGGGACGAGTCTTCTGAAGAACTATTCTCCCCCTGACGATGAGGACCCAGGAAATAAGATTCAGATTCTTGAAAGGTGACATCCATAGAAACAAAAAATTTCCGACTTGGTGGATGATAACACTTGTACCCTTTTTTATAAGGGTTATAACCAAGGAAGACACACTTAAGAGCCCTAGGATCCAATTTACTCCGATGTTGTTTATGAACATGGACAAAGGCAACACATCCAAACACTCTTGGTGGAAGGCTCTGCAATATGGGAACAAAAGGAAAGAAGGAAGTCATGGAATGAATAGGACTGATATTGTTTAGGACCCGTGAAGGTAAACAGTTGATCAAAAAAGTTGCAGCTAATACTGCTTCTCCCCAATAAGAACTAGGAAAAGATGTCTGAAAAAGTAGTGCTCTAGCAACTTCAAGAAGGTGACGATTTTTCCTTTCAGCAACCCCGTTTTGTTGAGGGGTATCAACACATGTGAGCTCATGAATCATACCTCTGTCTGAAATGAATTGTGACAGGCGTTGATTGACGTACTCAGTACCATTATCAGATCTGAGTCTTTTAATACCCTTACCAAACTGAGTCTCAACCATGTGATGAAACCGAATAAATATCTCTGGTACTTCAGACTTGTCTTTCATCAAGTATATCCATGTTATCCGAGTACAATCGTCAATAAAAGAAACAAACCACCTAGCACCTGAAACACTGTGCACTTTAGAAGGGCCCCAAACATCAGAATGGATAAGAGAAAAAGGTTCTCTGCTTTTAATAGTGCTAGAAGGAAATGACACTCGATGGTGTTTTGCAAATTCACAAACATCACAATGAAAGGTCTCAACCGACTTATTGAGAAACAGAGAGGGGAACATAGACTTCAAAAGACTAAATGGTGGATGCCCGAGACGCTTGTGATGGAGCCAAATCATAGACTCTGCAGTAGAAGGATGACATGTCATTAATAACTGATTTTTGCTAGCATGGTCTGGAAGGAGATGATACAACCCATCCTGTTCATTAGCAACTCCAATTGTCTTCTTCGTGGTAAGATCCTGAATAAGACAATGAGAAGGAAAAAATGTGATAGAACAATTCAAATCAGTTGTAAGTTTTTGAGTGGAGATAAGATTAGTAGAGAGCTGAGGAACATAAAGAACATTTTTAAGAAACAAGGAAGGTTGAATTTGAATGTTACCAGAACCAATAACTGATTTATGGGATCCATCAGCTACGGATATAGTATGACTACCAACAGTAGGATGATAAGAACAAAATAACTCAGTACGACAAGCCATATGGTCAGTTGCACCAGAATCCAAAATCCATGAGGTTTTAAAATCAGTGCAAGAAGCAAGAAGAGATATAGAACGTGTGCTCTTACCAGATAAGTTCGAAGAACTATCATGCTCAGCCATTCTTTAACAAAAAAAGTTAACAACCAGCGATAAAATCAACCAAACAGAATATCAAATGACCTCTAATCAGAAAAATAATTACAGATCCAGACAGAAGACAAGAAGACGAGAAGAATGGTGGTGGTCCGGTCCAAAAACACGGCCGCACGCGCCTCCACGCGCCGGAGAAAGGAGCTGCGTGTGGGATTCACTCGCCGGGAAAGGGGCGGCGCGTGGATGGGCTTCGCCGGCTGAGATTTTCTGGTGTGGTCGTCCGGTGAGCGCACACCTGTCTGTGGGTGGTCGCGGTTGAAAAGTCGCCGGAAAGTGGTCCAAACAGTGAAGACAGATCTGATTGGAGGCGATCGGAGGTGTTTCGGTCGTTTGTGGCGGAGGAACACTGCGTAGAATGATAGATCGGAGGAAAAATAAGGTCAACAATGGTCCCCTTGGTCCAAAAGGTCCCCGGAAAAATTTTCCGGTGGCGGCTAATGGCGGCAAGAGGCAAAGAAATTAGGGTTTTGTTAAAAAAGAAGATAATATGTGCGGAAGCAAAGCCCTCAGATCGAGAGCTCTGATACCAACTTGAAAAAGATCAACCCATCATGCCTAAACCTCATATGAACCTCACTGAAAAGCTGGTCTATAATATAGATGTTGCACGTCCTGACAATAAGGTTGAAAATGGTGGATTAGTCACAACATTAACGGAGGCAAATTTTGCTTTTATTGGGAATGTTGGATTAAGTGTAATCAAGGTAAAACTTCAACCTCATGCTATTAAGGCACCCTCATACTCAGCCAGCCCTGCGGTTCAGTTAATTTACATTGCTAGAGGAGGTGGCAAGATTGAAATTGTGGGCCTGAATGGAAAATCTGTATTGGACACTCAAGTTAAGGCTGGTCATTTACTTGTTGTGCCACAGTTCTTTGTAGTTGCTGAAATTGCAGGTGAAGAAGGAATGGAGAGCTATTCTATCCTAACAACTACAAGGTAAATGCCCTCAAGATTCCAACAAATAATATATATATATATATATGACTTGTAATAACATTTAAAAAATGAATGTTTATATTAATTAAAAGAATGATACGAGAAAGTTATAATAAAAATAATCGGATATATATTTCTTTCTTTGCAGGCCTTTGCTTGAAGAGTTGGCGGGCAATGAATCCGTTTGGAGTGCCATATCACCTTCAGTGCAAGAAGTGGCTCTTAATGTGGATTCTGAATTTCAAAAGCTTTTCATATCCAAGGTCAAGGAGACCACAAATCTCATCTCCCGTACTACTAATTAGTTTGAGTTGTTTATGTACGTGTGTGTGTTTTAAACAATAATGGAAGCACAAAGTTTGCTCAACGTAATAAACAATATTTAATGTAATAATATGCATATTTGTTTTTGGTCATTAATTGGCCACGGCACCTTAATTTCCTAATTGGTTGCTGAACTACATATATAATAATTTTAAGAGGAATACATATGTTATGTTGTAGGAAAATACTTAGCTCATACTATAGACACAATTAATGTGGACCTCATCATTTTCTTTTTATTTTAAAAGTGATGAGGTCCACATTGATTATATTTATAACATAACCTAAACATTTTTCTACCACATGACATATGTATTTCTCTAATTTTATTACACTGGTTGCATATTTCAATGGAATTTCCCTCTAATTGGATTTGCTACTCTGCTTCACTCCCTCTATTTGAATTTCCCAGTGTTTGTGATTTTGTTAGTTTTGGTGCATCGTCCTGTATATAAGTAGTTTGATATGTGTTTAGCATATAAAACAAATTTTGAAAAGAACCGGTTTCAAAAGATTCGATTTTTTATGGTTTGGTTCAGTTTATAAGTTCAATTCAATCGGTTTATAACTTTGTCCCCCCCCCCCCCCCCCCCCACAACCCTCCAACTTTATTAGCCACCAATACAGTGACAGCAAAGTTACTAATCGGCAAATTCTCCGTCTAATTGGTGTGTCAATGACCAAGGTATATATATATATTTTTAGAGCAATAGTGGAAAAAAGGGGTTTAGGGTAGGCAATTGCCTCTCTAAACTTTGCTGATTTTGCATTAATTGATAATTCTGTTTATTTTTGGAAAAAAAAAGTATTCTGTGTAAATCTGAAAAGTTATTATTATTTATTTATTTTTACTTTCCAATCACATCGCTGACATATAAAGTATAAAAAAAAATAACTATTCAAATTTACACAAAATATTACCTATCAAACTTTGTATAAATCACTAAAAAAACATAGCTTATTTCTTTTTAAAAGAAATCCACTTAACCCTTTATTTTTTATGCGTGGGTTTCCATATCTTAACCTTTCTTTTACAATATGTTTTTGGCTCATCATTGTTTGAGAAAGGTCCATCCTGGTGCAACCAAATCAAGCCCATTTGGGTCTAAACATTTGGTAACCTGTTGGGCTTTTTGACCAAACTGGAGTAATTTTTCAAAAGAATTTCTCAAATACAGCAGTTTGGAAAGATAATATCAATTTAATGTAATAAATCCTACATCTTATTCATACGAGATTAGCCACGCGCGCTCCAAAGTGGATGAGAAAAAAACAAAGCATTTATTCCATTGAAGATAAGCCAAAAAATATTCAAACAATCCAATACATTAATCATGCCTTAAGCATAGATATCCAACCCGTCCATAGATCCTAAAACTTATATGCATCTATATATCATTAAAAAATTACAGTTTTTCAGTAATACTATTGGGAACAGTCGTAATTTCATATTTAATAATAGTAGTAACTAGGAATAATAATCTTAGCCTTTTAATATAAGGTCTATTAATCCTATTTCAATAGAAATAAACAAAGAATAATTCAAATGATAAAAACTTTTTAAAATATATAAATATTAAGCAAAGCAATAATATCACATCCAAGGACCAATCCATGTTATGGAGAGCTCTGAAGCACGGACACGGTTTTTTTTGGGGGAAAATGTGTGTTAGACACGTGTCGGATACCGATACGTTCCGACACGCAGTTAATTTTTTGGGACACGTTGGCTAGGGGGACACATGATTTTTACTGAATTTGACACGCGGTCAACGATGTGGACACTATTTAGCATTTTTTGTAAAAAAGAAATAAAATTAAAATTTAAAGAAAGAGTAAAAATATTTAATAAAAATTAAAAAGTTTAGAACCCTATCCTATCTCGTTCACGCTAGACGCTGCTAGCCACTCCTTCTCTTCTTCGTTGTCGGTCGTCGCCTCTCGCCTCATCTCTGCTTATTGTCTCTTCTTCCTAGGCTCGTCGTTTACATCTCTGGTCCTAATCAAAAACCCGATAAGTCTCTTTCGATCTTGATTTCAACTGTTTCTTTCTTGTGTTGATGCTTTTCTCTCCTTTGAGATTGGATGCATTAGCGTGGTATTTCTTCCTTGTTGTCTCTGCTTGTTGCTTTTTCCATTATGGAAATTTCATCAGTGGCTGTTTTGTGTGATCCAAGGATGTTTTGCTGTCGTGATGTGAGGACCACGGTTCTCATATGATTCCTGCATTGATGAATTAGTTGGTACATGTTTTGTTTATTTCCTTTTTGTTTGTTTTTTTAATTGTTTTCATTTCATCCATTTTGCTTTATGGGATGCTATCTATGGTGTATTGTGAATGGCTATGGTTCTTTCAATTTTCCAATCTTGAATATTAATTTATTTTACAACCTCCGATTTAGTCTCTCATAAAGCAAAGGAAGCGTACTATTTTTTTTAATTCCTTTTATTTTGTGAATTTCATGACCAACAATGGATATTGTGAAGCTGTTGATGCTTTCTACTGTTCATTTTTCATGTTCAACTTTACTATTGTTTTCCTGTGTTATTTAATTTATTAAATGTAAACTATTTTTTAATATTAAAAATATTATATAATATCAAAACATGTCGCAACGTATCAAAATTTAGCATTTTTTAGAATTAACATGTCGGAGTGTCGTGTCGCGTTGTGTCCCGTGTCGGTGTCGGTGCATCATAGATGGAGAGTGAAAGGAACATGATTTTTTTTTTTGTTAAGTTTTTTCCTATTTTTATCCACTTGTTAACTAATTTTATTTCCGAAATTTATCATATATACTAAATTAAAGTTTATTCTTTTAAGAGTGATTAAATCTTTTAGTGCAGTCTTTCTTTATTTTTCTTTTTTGGTTTCTCAAGATATCATGAGGCCGATAGTCGAAGACTAATCATTTCGAGGTGGGAGATTACATTATGTGGGTAAACTTCTCCCAATAAAGCTTTTTTCATACACACAAACAATCTTTTAGTGGAGTCTTTCTTTAAAAATAACACATTCAATTTTCAACTTTTTTTCTTTTAAATTTTAAAATTAAATTTTTAATTGATTATGTACATGTTCCTTATAATTTTAAATAATTTTAATTTTAACTTAAATTAATTATGCATACTTTCTTTATAATTTTAAATATTTTTTATTTTAAATTATATTTTAAATATTTACTTAAATTTAAAAATACTCTAAAATTGTCCATAAATGTTTACTAATTACTTCTAATTTCCCTCTACTCGCATAGTTTGTTAAGTAATTTTGATGACGTTTACCGGAAAAAAAAAAAAGTAATTTTGATGACACTAACCTTTTCTATATGAAGAGTGGACAAAGAAAAATATATAAAATTCACCAACTTTAGTTTCCCATAAATATAATTCACGAAGCCATCTTTCCAAAATTTCAACACCCATCTTCCTTGCACCCATCATTCAAAATTTCAAAGTCTTTTATTACTTATCATAGCTCATCCATTAATAATGTATATTAATAAAGGTATTCAATGGTGGATCAACAACCTCACAAAACAACCTAACCCAACCCAGAAATCAGCATGTTAGTGTGGGTATATAGGTTGGATCGAGTAATAAAATCAGTTGGGTGAGTTACTCTATTACTCTATCAAGCTTGGCTTACCTTTTACAAAAGGTTTCTTATGATTATAAAGGTAAGGAGAAACCTTACATCTTTTTCTAGAATCTTTCATCATTAAAAATGTGGGTAGTATTCATTCAGGTGATTGTTTAAATATTAAGTCATGCACCCATAAATGTGATGTATGTTTAGTCACTAAACAATTAAACCGAGGAACTCACCCCAAACAATGTCAACAAAGTCGATGTTGACATATAATTGAAGCACCCTTCTTTGAGATTGTTGTTCCAATGTATCAATTATGCACTCAGTGCATGTTTGGATCCTCTTTTTTTAAGCTAGTAGCTACTTATAAATATAAGCTAGGCCAAATAGGTTTTGGGAAAAGCTCGTATAACGAAAAGCTCTTTTTTTTATAATGAAGAAAAAAGCTGAAAATTAAAAGCTCCTAGGAGGAGCTTTTTTTAAAGCTCTTATCTGTTTTTCTTGAATTATGTGTTTTTTTTTAAATGAAGAGTGATAAAGATAGAGAGAGAAATAATTTTCTTAAAATATGTATTTTTAAGTTAAAACTTTTATGTAATTTCCAAACAGTTTTTAACTTTTTTTTAAGCTCTTTTTTTTTAGCTTTAGCTTATGAGTAGCTTATAACTTAAAAATAAGAGGATCCAAACAGGCTTTCAATATCTTCGTCATCGCAAAATTGTCTGTCGCAAAATTTGTCATCCTCCATATTTAATCTATATGGCAGATAGGAAATAATTTGATTTGCTTGGAGGTTCAGTTTAACATGAATTTTCTTTTTTAAAACCATTCTAGCTCGTGCTATATTGGTTTCTATCCCGTTTTTTTTTTTTTTGGAATGTCATTTTGAATGTCCTTCGAATGTCATTTCTTCTGTAATTTCAAATTTCTACCAATATGACAAATACCAAAAATGAACTCATTTTGAAAGAGGAAAAAAGAGTAAAAGTTGATAGCAATTAGCAAGGGAGGAAAGTGAGTTAATTGAGAGTGGGTGTGAAAAGCGAGGCTACTTACAAGAAAAAGAGGATTCAAGAGTGAATGTTATGTGACACAGATGTGAAACTCTTTGTTCCATTAGCGAGCGAGGTGGAACAACGAGTTGGCAGCCCCTCCTTTTTTTTTTTTTCTTTCGTACTAACCCAACATATTGAAATGGTGATTTTGGGCTTTTTGACTCTTATAATCTTTTATTAATAATTAATTATCTAATTAACCTTGGTTTTTTGACCACTATAGTCTTTTTTTAATAATTAATTACCAAATTGACCCTATTTATAAACTATTTCAAAAATTTAACCTCTTCAGAAAACATAACACCAATCTGCCCCTGTTTGACCGTTGACCATGAAATCTACCCGGGTACACCCCTACCTACCCGGGTATATTTTGAAATTTTTTACCTACCCGGGTACACTCCTCCCTACCCGGGTATATTTCTTGAATCTGAATTTTTTTTGAATTATGTACCCGGGTAGATAGGGGTGTACCCGGGTAAATAATCATAACCTGTTGAGTGGTAAAGTACAACACAGATGCTTTATTGCATTCAGTTTCCGGGTTAATTTCTTTTTGCAATTTCTTAAACATCAGATCTACAGGTGGAAGAGGAAAGCTTGTGGCGTAACCCTTGATCCACGAAATCGGTGATGGGTTGGCAAAGTGGTGAACGAGTGTTCGGGCATGGTTAGGTTCTTGAAGGGAGAGAGGGAACAAGTAAAGAGCACATCTTTGGTGTTTCTTATAGAGCGTTATATCCAAAATGCCAATCTCACAGATGACTAATTATAGTAAAATAGATAGGTTACTAATAGATAGGTTAATGACCAAATTTCTTCGAGGGGACACTGTGAGTAGGGGTGTTAACAATTGACTCGTTTATATTTACATGCTCCATTCTACTGATATACATATAATTGTTTGAATAGCTTCCTGGAAAATCTCGGAACACAGCGAGTCCAACAAGCTTCAAAGTGAGAAACCAACATGTATAGTTCTGCACCACATAGATGGAATACAAAGTAATATCTGTATTCTCGAAATTTACCCGGGTACACCCCTCTCTACCCGGGTAAATAATTCAAGCAATTTCTCAGGTGCGAAGAACAATATCCGGGTACACTCCTCCCTACCCGGGTAGACAAAAATTTTCAAAAAATACCCGGGTAGAGAGGGATGTACCCGGGTAGGCTTGGTGGTCAACGGTCAAACAGGGGCAGATTGGTGTTATGTTTTTTGAGGGGGTTAAATTTTTGAAATAGTTTATAATCAAGGTCAAATCGGTAATTAATTAATAATAAAGGGTTATAAGGGTAAAAAAGCCAATTAACCTTCATTCTAAACTATTTCAAAAATTTAAGCCCCTCCAAAAATATAACACCAATATGCCCTGTTTGACCGTTGACCACCAAACCTATCCGGGTACACTCCTTCCTACCTGGGTATTTTTTGAAATTTTTTATCTACCCGGGTAGGGAGAGGTGTACCCGGGTATTTTTTTTAGTACCTGAGAAATTGCTTGAATTATTTACCCAGGTAGAGAGAGGTGTACCCGGGTAAATAATTGAAATGCGTGAAGTGTTGTTCTTCTTCGTTTGTAAAGGAAATGATTAATTGACTGAAGAAGGTGCTACTGTTTACCCGTCGTTCTCACTAAAAACGTACTGGGAGTTCTCTGCTTTCAAGAATCCAACAGTGGGTGCCGAAGGTTCGTGGTAGACGGCTGGATATTAAAACAAATGAAACTGGAATTTGTTTTTGGATATATGAAATGGTTTTCAATTCCTACAGATTACTTCATTGTGTTAAATGGATATGGAATGAAATAGCCGATGGGGGTTTATATTTCATCAAAATTTATAATGTTACTTGACATATATTTCGCAGTAATGATATTTCAACTATTTAGAGAGAAAGCTAACTATGCCTCGCTCTCTTCCTCCTTTCATGGATCCTCACTGTGAGATGGGAACTAAAAGTGGCCTTCATCAAATCTTCTCCAAAGAGCTTCGTGGTGCTTAAGCGATTTATCTTGGCAATAGACACCCAAAGTATCGTAGTGATTAATTCCTGAAAGGTGATTAATTCCTGAAAGGCACTGAAGAACATGGCACAAACTCAATATTTCTTTTACAAACGAAGAAGAACAACAGTTCATGCATTTCAATTATTTACCCGGGTACACCCCTCTTTACCCGGGTAAATAATTCAAGATATTTCTCAGGTGCTAAGAAAAATACCCGGGTACACCCCTCCCTACTCGGGTAGACAAAAAATACTCGGGTAGGGAGGAGTATACCCGGGTAGGCTTGGTGATCAACGGTCAAACAAGGGTAGATTGATGTTATGTTTTTGGAGGGGGTTAAATTTTTGAAATAGTTTAGAATGAAGATTAATTTGATAATTAATTATTAATAAAAGGTTATAAGGGTCAAAAAGCCGGTGATTTTGCTCTCCTACGTGTAAAGTGCTTTATACATGGGTAAATTATTTTCGACATATACTATTTGTATTTGTATTTTTTATTGCGATTTGTACTCGGAGGTCAATGGCTACTTTTGCGAGTTGAAGTTTATTGAATTGATATGGGCCAAAAATTTTAATGGCCCAACAACGTTTATAGCTTTTGCTTGAAAAGATAAATAAATTGGAACAACATAAATCCCTAGCGTTTGAAGGGAGATGCATTCCTCCTTCTGCCCTGCACGGCGTTTTTAATCAATGCTACTAATATTTAACTTTGGTTAACCATCTCTAATTAGTTATTGTTAACTCCCCATATTTAATAGTAGGTTTGGTAAACTTCTTTTATGTTGCTCTGCCAAAGCTCATATTAGCGAGGTTTGATACTAAAGAGCTTTTGCAAGGAAAAAACCAATTGATGATAGGGTGGAAGCTTGTGAAAATCTAGGTGGCACTCATCTTACTGCATAAATTGGTTTCTCTATCCTTTATTATGTTTATTTGTTTTCATTCATAACTTACTTCACCCCTTGTGCATGCATGCATAATCATACGTGTGCATACCGCATACATATTTGATTACAGGTGAATTCAATGACAGGATTGTAAAAACAATATGGGAACTAAATTTGGAGATTCGCCTAATATGATAGAAGCAGCAATGGCTGCTGTAGAGAAATTGTCCTCAACTTAGAAAGTTGTGATACATGGACCATCATGGCAAGTCATTTTGAGGTAGCATGACTCATTCTTCTGTATATTTTTCACACTTGACATTTATACCTCATGTTCCAGTTTTTAGAACATTAACAGCAGTACTATCAAGCATTAGCTGTCGGTTTTACACCACAAAAATGAATTAGCACTTACAGTAATAACAATACTTAAACGAAGCTATGAAAAGATAATACAGTTTAGTTTCCAATTTCAAATTTATTTATTACATATCACAAAGTTTACCATAGTGAGTTATATCTAACCATGCTTTAAGAGAGTATCAAATTTCATCCCCATTGATCCTCTCAATAACAGAGATAACACCCTGAGTGCCAAGCTTGCCATGTCCAATAGCAACCATACTGGAAAATAACTGTTTATACAAGGAAGCTCCAGGCAAGACAACAACCTTATTATCATCACTTTCCTCAACAACATCCACACCCATTCCCAAATCCTTAACCTGATACTCAACGAAACCACCGGGGCGAAAGTCTCTCTTAATCATCCTCTCCCCAAATAACTCCAGTGCCTTAGAACCCGCAGAACCATTTCTAATAGCATCGACGAACTGCCCCAAATCCAAACCCGCACGCTTCGCGAACACCAACCCTTCACTAAGCCCAATCAAATTGGCCCCAATTGTGATCTGATTCGCTATCTTGCAGCTCTGTCCGCACCCTGCGGGACCCATGTAGGTCACCTTCCCCATAATCCCAAACAAGGGCTTTAACCATTCCACCACCGACGCTTCCCCCGCTGCGAAGATGGCGAGTTTACCATCCCTGGCGCCGATGTCTCCGCCGGAGACGGGGGCGTCGACGGACCACCCGCCTTTGGCTCGCGATGCCGCGAAGATCTCCCTGGCGAGGTCGGGGTGTGAACTGGTGGTGTCGACGGTGACGGAGTTAGGGCGCAGGCCGGAAACGACGCCGTTTGAGGAGTCGAGGAGGATGGATCGAACGTCTGATGGGTGGCCGAGCATGGTGAAAAGGACGTCGGTGGATTGGGCGAGTTGGGCTGGGGAATCGGCGAGGGAGGCACCTTGGGATTGAAGAGCGAGGGAATTAGGGTGTGATGGGTTGCGAGCGTAGATGGTGAGGGTGTAGCCCGCTCTGAGGAGGCGAGAGGCCATGGCTCCACCCATTACGCCTATTCCGATCCACCCGATTCGGGTTTCCGATGGCGTGATCGGGTTTGGGTATACTGTTCCCATGAGAGGAGAGTGGACACTGAAGACTGGAGAGTGAGATGCTTGGGTGGTGTTCTTATTATTATAATTTAATTTTAACTAAGTCAAGTAACTTTCTTTTTTAGGTCAGTGGACTATTTCATTCGAATTTTTTTATTTATTATTTTGGGAAATAATCTTCTCATGTGTAATTTAACATGATCATGTCATGTTATGTGGGAGGATCTTAACCATTAATAATTAAATCAACGGTGATTATTGTGTAACTTTATATCCTTATATTTTTTCTCTCTTCTCCCTTATCACCATTAAGTCATCCATATATGGTTATAATTGCCTCATATGACATGGTCATGTTAATTAGCACATGAAAGAATCCACTCCCATTATTTTGCCCCTTTGTAAAGAATACGGTAAATTACACGAAACCATTGTTACGATATGATAGATCGTGAATGTCTAATCAGAGATTGGTAATTTAATATTGGATTTGTTTGTCCTCTCTCAGGTACCTATAGGAGAGGTACCCTAAAGATAAGAGGATCACTGTGCACTATATTATAACGACATAGTCAAGGCGTGGGGTGTGTGCACAGTGACAAGCTAAGAGAGAGGGTTTAGAGTGTGTGTACCTTATTGGTTTAACCCCTTATTTATGGATGGGTTACCTGGCAGGAGTGGACTTTTGGGCCTCTTAAGAGTATTGGGGGTCCAATTGTTGATCCATTGCTGCCGTAGTAGGATTCGTATAATTAAGGAATATTTCCTTAATTCCCTCTTAGCTGTTAACCCTATTTGGGCCTTCTAAAATGTGAGCTGCTTAGATGTCTGGATAAGATCGTCATTAATAGAAGATTCCCTTCCTGTTTGTGTTGTCCTTTATTGGACCTTCTAGAATATAGGCCTTTGTCAGGTCCATAACAGTTGTCCCCCAGCCCGGTAGTTTGGTTGTCCAGGCTGCCGGGGTGAATTGTCTTGCCTTTTGCTTCAGGTTTTCTGCTGAGCTGAGAGCGTTTGAATTTTTGTAAACTTTTTGCATATATGTTCCTTACATCTCAGGCTTTTAAACCGGGGTCCTCATTGCCCCTTATCTCGACGGGTTGATCATAAATCAAAGAAAATATTTCACGTATTCCTATACCGAGTTTGGGATGAGCTTGAGTGGTTGGGATCCAACTGGGGAGTTGCCCCCAAGTATCATTCCATACGCACACGTTCTGAGCTTGTAGCTTTCTTCTGGAACCGGCAATGATTTCCCTTTGTCAATTATGTGGACGGGTTATGCATGAACCCGACAAGATATTCAGCATGTGTAATTGGGTAACGAATGTGCTTGAGTAGTTGGGATCCAACTGGCGAGTTGCCCCCAAGCATCATTCGTATAACCTGGATAAGAGTTGTCGTATACTTGCATGTAATAGCAGTAATCTCTGCATTTGAATTTCAAGTTAGCAGTCGAATTCTTGCTTTGACTTGGCATCTTCATTGAAGCAATTTTCTTTGGGTTGGAACTTTCCTTTGCCGACTTAATTGGGTTAGCGATTGCAGTTATTATCTCTGTCATTCATTCAGCCGATTTTAGTGAACCGAGTATTGAATATGTTATTTATGTATTTCTCCCTCAACCTTTTTTGGCTGAGATGGTGCTTTGGTCAGGCAGTGTTTGCCTCCTTTCAACATCGAGCTCGGCGAGGCTTTCGCTTTGAGCCCAACTTCTTGTACTGTGGCTTTATTGATTCAGATTTAGCTTTTCAGCGTTAACTGAACAAAATGACCTAGCCAAGGTCTTTCATGCGGATTTTGCTTTTTGCTTTTAACCCAATTTTCTTAATTAGGTTTTCAAATTTGAGGCGTCATGGTGACTTGATCAAGGTCGTACTAATATGCCCCTTATTTTTCAAGCCTGATTTCATTTATCACAGCTTGTATGTTGTTTATTTTGACAACATTTAGGATTTAGAAGCGTACTTCTGTTTTCCTATGCCTCGGCTAAAAGCCCCAGTTCTGCAGTGTGCTTTTTATTTTTAATCCATTTTCTATCCAGGTTCTTGCACGTTGCTAGATGTAGGTTTTCAATACCTTGGCTTTATTTAACTCGGCTTCTTACCAGAGTGTCATTTTTTGTTTTCGACTTATTTCGCCGTTTTGACTTGTGAGCCACTTCAGATTGGGGTGTGATCCTTTTTCCAGGATCTCATTTCTTCAAAATCATCTTTATCCCGGATTGGAGTGTGATCCTTTTTCTAGGATCCCATCTTTCCAAATCCATCTCCATTCTTTATCCCAGATTTTTATCTTGGGTCTTTATACCGGATTGGGGTGTGATCCTTATTTCCATGATCACATCTCTCCAAATCCATCTTATTTTATCGCGGATTAGGGTGTTATCCTTTTTTCAGTACCACATCTCTCCAAATCGGTCTTCATTTTATCGCGGGTTGGGGTGTGATCCTTTTTCCAGGACCACATCTCTCCAAACCGGTCTTCATTCTATCGTGGGTTGGGTTGTGATCCTTTTTTCAGGACCACATCTCTCCAAATCTGTCTTCATTCTATTGCGGGTAGGGGTGTGATCCTTTTTCCAGGACCACATCTCTCCAAACCCGTCTTCATTTTGTCGCGGGTTGGGGTGTGATCCTTTTTCCAAGACCACATCTCTCCAAACTCGTGGATTCATAGATCCATGTCCTGAATCTGTGGATTCTTGTCGATCCGTGTTTCAAATTTAGTTTTTCTTATTTCGTTCTTTCTTTGGTGCCGGGCTTCATGAGCCGGGTACCGTGTATAATATTTCAACATTTCTCCCTCAACCTTTTTGGCCGAGGTACGTAGCTCGGACTAGTTGACCAGTCTTTTTGACTGTCTTACTGAGATCTTGAAGTATGAGGATTGTTGCTTTTAATTTTGGTTGCATTCCTGCACTTTCCCCCCAATTCAGTAGTCGAGGAATCCGGGTTGTCGAACTGTATTACTTTAATTCAAGCATCTTTATGTCGGAATACTGACTTGCTTTTGCAATTTTCCTTTTTCTGATTTGGAGATCTTTGAGATCCCTTTTCATTGATGTTGCGGGGTTTTGTTCCCGGTTCTCCGCATGTTTCGTTTGCAGAGTTGAATTTCTCCTTGCTATAATTAGCACAGTTTTATATATTGTAGCTTTATTCATTTGAGCTGGCTTTGCCAGAATCTCTTTGTGATATCGTCTTCCATTTCAATCCGGTTATACATACCGTGTCTTTCACAGATTTTGACTTGATCAGAATCATTCACCTTTTTGAGTCCGACTTGCATTGCCGTGACGTTCAGATAGAACGGGGTGAGACTCCCACGATTTTCTTTGTATCATCAATTTCATGCATTGGATGATCTTGTCTTTATACTCGCATCTTGAGTTTTTTGCCTCCCTGATAACTTAGATATATATTTTTTAAGTATTTCAGGTTTATTGGTTTGCCGAGTTGCTTGAAGTCTTTAGCATTTTTCAACACTTCTAAGCATTTGGCACTTTCTTGATTTGATAAGCAGATGTTGCATATCTGTTATTTAGGTTTGTAACTTAGACAATTTTCTAAGTTTTCTTAAACCTCATTTGTGTAGTCCCCCATCCAAGATGGGTTATTCTTAACAACTCGAATATATTATCGCTTTTGTAACTTGTGCATTTTACAAGTGCAGGTATATTGACCTGGTCGAGGTCAAAAAACATTATACGGATTCCGCTTTTTGTCACTCTCCGTGACACATGTTTGTTTTAACTTTAACATTTTGTTAAGTCAGCATTGACGAAGGTGATCATTGTCTCCTTCAATCATGACTTGGGTTTCGTAACCCGGTACTATCCAAGGTAAAGGCAGTATTGTCACATGTCCTACTTGGGTCTTTTGACCTTAGTACGGAGCATTTTGACTTGATCAGAGTCAGCATGACAAATTGCGCTTGTATCTCAGATCTTATGTTGATGCATCATAAACACAAGGAGAGGTAATTTAATATTGGATCTGTTTGCCCTCTCTCAAGTACCTATAGGAGAGGTACCCTAAAGATAAGCGGATCACTGTGCACTATAATATAACGACATAGTCAAGGCGTGAGGTGTGTGCACAGTGACAAGCTAAGAGTGAGGGTTTAGAGTGTGTGTACCTTATTGGTTTAACCCCTTATTTATAGATGAGTTACTTGACAGGAGTGGACTTTTGGGCCTCTTAGGAGTATTGGGGGTCAAATTGTTGATTCATTGCTGCCGTAGTAGGATTAGTATAATTAAGGAATATTTTCTTAATTCCCTCTTAGCTGTTAACCTATTTGGGCCTTCTAGAATGTGAGTTGCTTAGCAGTCTGGATAAGATCGTCATTAATAGAAGATTACCTTCCTGTTTGTGTCCTCTAGTTAGTGTTTTTCCAGAAAAGTACCGTTTATATATATATATATGGGAAAAACACTCAAGCACTTGAGATAGGTTTATCTCCGACCACCCCAAAACTACGTCGTTTTATTTATTTATTTCCTTATATTAATTGATTCACCTTTGAATGGTTATGATTTTCTCTCTCTTCCTTTATCACCATTGATCCATCTTTGTACGGTTATGATTTAGTAGCCGTAGATAAAATTATCTCAAGCAGTTTGAGAATATATATATATATATGGGGCAAGATATACTTACCACCAAAAAAGTTTACCATCTTTACAACCAACTTAATCACCGTTGATTTCTGTCAATCTAACAGTTATAATTTATTGAAAATTAATAATTAATTAATAAATGCGATCCTACCGCTATATATATATATATATATATATATATATATATATATATATATATATATATAGGGGTGTTCATCAACCGATCCAAACCGATTCAAACCGCGAAAATCGAACCGAAAAACTGATAACCGAATAAACCGAAAACCGAAAAATCGGAAACCGAAAAAAAATCGCAAATTTTAATTGGATTGGATCGGTTTTCGGATGGGTTGATGAAAACCGATCCAATCCAAACCGATCCAATATATTAATTATCCTCTACCTACTTGTCCTTTTTCCAATCATAGCCCAAAAATTTCT